ACTGGGGTTGTCTGTCAGCTCTGGGGCCGTGGGTGTCCCTTCCTTTCCCCCATTTCTGGTCCTGCTCAGCTCTGAGGAGCTTTTTGCTCAGTGTTAGCTCTTCTGGCACCTGTTCTTTGGTGTCCTCAGGCTCAGCCTCCCCGGGCAGGCGGTGACACGACAGAGCAGATGGATGTGCAGGGTTGGCGTTCCTAAAAAGAATCTGCAGCCAAATGTTATGTAAGAAGAGCAGCTATTTTTGAGCATTAAAAAAAAAAAAATCCACATTTCTGGCTTTACTGCTCTGCTCAGTGTTTTACAGCAATCCCTGAGGTTGGAAGAGACCTCCAAGGTCATCCAGCCCACCCTGTGCCCTGTCCCCACCTTGTCACTCAGTGCCACTTCCAGTCCTTCCTTGGATACCTCCAGGGGTGGGGACTCCAAAACTCCCAGGGCAGCCCCTGCCAAGCTCTGACCACCCTTTCCAGCCACAAATTCCTCCTCGTGGCCAACCTGACCCTCCCCTGGCACAGCTGGAGGCCATTCCCTCTCCTCCTGTCCCTTGTTTCCTGGGAGCAGAGCCCGACCCTCCCTGGCTTCCCCCTCCTGTCAGGGAATTCCAGAGCCAGAAGGTCCCCCCTGAGCCTCCTTTTCTCCAGGATGAGCCCCCCAGGCTCCCTCAGGAGTTTCTCCAGCCCCTTCTCCAGCTCTGTTCCAGCCCCTTCCCTGGTCCCTCTCCAGCCCCTCCATGTCTTTCCTAAAGTGAAGGGCAACGATCGAAACCGGGTGTGCAAAACTGGACTTGGGTGATGTTCACCCAAGGAATTATCCCTTTCTTCAGGAACCCACTGATAATAAACCCTTCACGAGCTTTCCATGCTGTGCTGTGGTTTGAAATGTGATGTGGTGCATTAATAAAAGAACCAGGGGTAATTAAGCTTTGCAGGAGAACGTGGGATTAGTTCGGAGCAGTCACTCTGTGGAGAATTATTGTCCTCGTGTGTGAGGAAAACAAGGCTGGCCAGGCACTGTAATGGTGTGTAATTGGCTGTTGGTGAGTTCTGGAGGAGGTGATTAAACCAGATTTCTCCCCAACCACAGAAATCCTTCCCTGCACAGGAGAAATCCCCCAAACCTCCAAAGCCAGAAGAAGGGACTTTTATTGTCATGCCAGTGGTGCATTTGGGAATGAGCTACAGTTTGTTGAGGCCACTCAAGTTGCACTTTTCATGGAATATTTTGAGATCTTCAGTTAGCACAAAACAGCAGAAATCACTAAAAGAGGGAACATTTGCCAGTGTTTATTTTGGGGACTGTTTATGATGCTCTTTTATTCTGAACATAAAAAAAAACTACTCATGTGAACTGCCCTGAGGACTAAAGATATCAAGGATCTTACTAAGCAGATTTAATGTCTTTTTAAGACAGAAGTATTTGCTGATGTCTCTTAGGTTCATTATGGAACCTAATTATTGGGGTTAACAATAATTATGGGTTAACAATGTTCATCTAAATATGCTGAATTTTGAAAACCTTGTTTCTCTTGTTGCTTCCAACAAGGCCATTATTTATTTTTTATTCCTGTACCACGTCCCACTTTCCCTTCTCTTAAAAGGTTGCACTTTTTAGGGCATAACTGGAAAAATTAGCCCAGTTTGGGCACTAGTCATGGGCCTGATTTCTCATTTAGGGACAGGCTTAGCCTTTAAAAGGGATTCTCAGCCTTGCAGTGAATCTCTGCTCTGGAGGCAGGTCCTGAGGCACCACCTGTGTGGGTTGTTCACTAGGGTGCATTTAAATTTCCCACAGTGTGTGCAGTAAATACATCCTGCTGGGACTGGTACCCAGGAAATTACAGGAGGTGGTTTTCTGTTAGTTAAATGAGGCAGCTGTCGTCTGTTATGATAATATCTCAGCTGGGAAGAAAGTTCCTCTAATCATCCACCTTTTCCTCAGCCCGAGGGCACGAAAGAAATGCCAGATTTAGCCTCTGAAAGGGGCCTACAAGGAAGTCAGGGGGGAAAGGGTCGTGTGGAAGTGGATGACAGGAAAAGGAGGGTTGGGTTCAGACTGGCAGAGGGGAAATTTAGGTTGGATATTGGGAAGGAATTCCTCCCTGTGAGGGTGGGGAGGCCCAGAGAAGCTGTGGCTGCCCCTGGATCCCTGGAAGTGTCCAAGGCCAGGTTGGAGCAACCTGGGCTAGTGGGAGGTGTCCCTGCCCATGGCAGGGGTTTGGAATGAGCTGGCCTTGGAGGTCCCTTCCAACACAAACCATTCCATGATTCTATGACATAAACCCAGGGAAAAAGGCTCTTCACACACCACTGGAATGTGTAGGAGAGACTCAAAGCTTCCTGAGACAGTGGGACAGATCCATTGGTGCTGTTGGCCGATGCTTGGGGGGCCCTGGAAGCGGTCTGGGCTGGAATTCCATACAGATATGGGACTTCCTGAACCACCCTGATGTGCTGGAAGGAATAGGTAATAAAGGGATGCGGTGCCAGTTAAAAGCAGATCACCCTGTGGTCGGGGGCACCTGGGGTGACAAACTGCTTTTCCTCCCTGTGTGGGCTCCAACATTCCCAAAAGCTTGACCTGCAGCAGAGGAGGAGATCCTGGATGTTCCCTGGATCCCTGGAGGGGCTGAGCTTGCTCGGCTGGGAGGCTGCAGGGAGGCTCATCGGGACACGCGGAGTGGGAGCCCCAACCGAAACCGTGACGTCTTCAAAGCAAAAAGGGGATGTGAGGTGGCACCCAGGTGGCTCCAGGTCAGCCTGGTGGAGGGAGGTGAAGGCAGGTGAAAGGTCTGGGAAGGCTGGGGCTGGCAGGAAATCACCACCCATGGGTCGTGTTCCCCGGGCACCGGGTGGAGGTGGCACCCGCCGTCGGAAGCGAATGAGCCGAGGGGGACGTCAGAAGGGAAGAACCACCATAAATAACGCTGGGTTGGCAGACGTGGACAGGGACTGGGGTTAAATTGGGGCCAGAGGACCCTCGGGCAGACTGAGAATTCCAGCCAAACCTTCGGCTTTCTGTGTTCTCTTCCTGCGCGTCGCTGCCGAAGCCCATCCGCAGGTGCCGGTGGGAGAAGCCCTGTGAGCCCCAAGGGAGATAAGCTGGATTTACGATGCTGGGAGACTCCACCATTTCCTAATGTTTTCCCCGGGGAACCCAGCCCATTTTGCTGCTGACAGCAGCCAGCAGGAGGATTACTAAACATCTCTTAATAGGTTTGCAGTTTCAAAGGGTTGCTCTGATTTACTGCGGACGTGCCCCGCTGGGAGCTTTGGGTGGAGGTTCCTAACACTGACCCTCTTCCTGGGGTGCCCTGATCTGGATCTGCCTTGCTCAAATTAGGACACCAAGAGGGGGTTTCTGAGGCAGCAGACCAGACCTGCCTCTTGGATGTGGCAGCTCCTTCCCAGACAAGGAAATGGAGCTGTGGAGCTCATCATCTGCTGCCTTCCAGTTCAATGTCCAATAATTAAAGTGAAATCAATGATATGGACGGAAAGAAATGGATGTTGGGTTGGAGGAATGGCATTTACTGCTTGGGGGCTACTCCGTTCACTGTCCCTGGTTTTCTGCCCCATGAAAATGCTTCTCCAATGTCCTCCCTTAGCTCTTTTCCTGACCCTTTCCTCCACTTTGCTCTGGAATGCAGAAGGGCTTCTGCAGGAGGCCACCATGAGAAGGGAAGGGGTAGCCATGGGTACCTCAGCCCAGAGGTGACCCCTCACAGTCACTTCTGCATCAAGATTTGTGACTCCTGGTGATGCCTTTGATGTGTAGCTGGGCTTGCAGGGGATCTGAGCAGCTCTGTCTGGGCTCTTTCCTGCTGAACCACCTTGTTCTGCGCCAGGTGATAATCTTTGGTGCTCCAAATCTAAATCAGGACTCCTCAGTCTCCTAAGGTGACACGCTGAAGGCTGGCAGGAACTCCCTGAAGAACCTGGCTGTTCAGTTTGCAAAGGAGATGATCCCTCCAACAGGTGGTTGCCTTTGGTCTTTTCTCTCAGGTGTCTTTGACCTTGAGTGTCACTGCCTTGGCAGACCACAAGACTTCCACTCAATCTCCTGCTTTTTTGAGATCTGTTGCTCAAACACCACCCCCTCCACCCCCCAGCTTTGCTCCAGGAGTCTGTGTGTTTGGGGGGTACAGTCAGTCAGCCGATGCCCCTTTTTTGGAGAAGAATTTGGGCAAGCCCAAGGTCAAGGGATAGTTAAGGTAGAACTTCCTCCTGCTTGGGGAAATGAGTCAGGGCAGGAGCAATTCAGGTGGAGATGTGGTGGTTGTCTCCAACATCTGGAGTCTAGACTTCCCTCTTATTCTGTGGCTCTTTGGAGTGGCTGGTGGTCCTTTTTAATCCCAGACAAAAGAAGACCAGACACCTGATCCAGCTAAGCAGGGTAATTTTAATGACAATGAGAAACAGTGAGTAACAGAAAGAACAGGTTTGCAGAGATACAAAAGGGTCTTCAGCAAGCAGAGAGCTTCTGATGGCGGGTGGTGCTTTTCCTGGTGGGAATGGTGGAGTTTACCAGTGCAGAACATGTTTCTTGGTCGCAGACTTGCTTGGGAATCGTGTTCACTGCCAGAGGAGGCAGAGCACGGACATTTAACAGGAGCTTCTCAGCCAGATGTCATCTTTGGTGAAGTCAAAGGCTGAGCAAAGCGGTTGCAGAAACTACTACTACTACTATGACAATACAAAGGGGTTGTGAATTGAAACTAAAAGTCACTTTACTCACACCCAAAGTCCTGCTCTACTCCCCCAACAGGCTCTGAAGGTGTCTCAGCTCTTGCTGCAGTTCAAGTTGCCCTTTGGAGCGACAGTTGAAGAAACAGGAGACGTTAAGAGAGGGTTACACGTGGAGTAGCTACACATGGAGTAGTTTCAGGCAGCCTGGCACCCACGTGTCCCCCTGCACTCAGCCAGGGGGCTGTGGGCACTCTCAGCACCAGAAACCAGCCGTGAATCCGTGTCCTTGCCTTCCAGTCCTCGGTCGCTATTCCGGCTTCAGAAGAACCTGCCCCCGAAGTGAGAGGAGAAGGGGTACCCGTTCCCAAACCCATACAGGTCCCCATATCCGTGAGAGCCCCCATAACCAAGGAAACCCCTGTTCCCATACAGGTTCCCAAAGCTTCTGTAGCCGTGGGGGCTCCCATATCGGAACCCATCGCAGGAGTAGCTGAAGGGCCTCCCAAATCTGAAGCCGTTCTGGCCCCCGAAGCCGTAGAGGTCGTCGTACCCAAGCTGGGAGTGGCACCCATCGTCATAGAAGTCCCTGTAGAAGGTCATGGTTTGTTGATGTTGGTGAGGCTGAAACACACCCAGAAATGAGGTTTATGGGCTGCTGGAGGAGATGCAACTCCTTCCCTCCCTCGGCATCGTTTTCGCCCTCTTAATTATCTAATTTATTTTTCTAAGCTCCCAAATCCCAAACAACTTCTCTACATTTTTTCCCCCCTGCTCAGCTCTCGGAAGTTGCTGACTGAACACGGAAAAGAAGGTTTTTTGCCAACCAAGAACTGAACTTTCCCAGTCCAGAATTCAGAGGGATTTGAATATACTAAAGAAAAATGAATATAATCCAGAAAGCACTTTTGGCTTCAAGATTACAGTAGAAAACTTCAAGTTTCCAGTGCTTTGAAGCCTAAATATTCAATAAGCACAGGAAAGAAGAGCAAAAAAGTTTGAGTGAAGGAATTCCCTGCCATTACGGGGAATTCTGTGGTTGGAGTTCGCTCCAAAATGACAACAAATTGCTTACAGAATGTCTATACTTGTACACAGTCCATATGTCATATATACATGGACACACCAGTACCTTTTATATATATAAATTCACCTCTAAATATACATCTATTTTTATATCTATCCGATCACACACACAGACATTCAGACAAACACCGAGGCACGAGAGTCGAGCCAGGACTGACTTACCCGCTTCACCGAGGTAGGGAGCAGTTGAGTGGCTGAGAGGAGCGGATAAAACTCCCCACTCAGAGGTCTGTATTTATACCTTGCCCAGCTCCGGAGTTATCCAGGATATCTCATCAGACCCCCTTCATCCCTCCAATTGACGTCGCCGAGCGCGGCGTGGCGACACGTGCGTCACCCCTCCAGAATTTCTTTCATCTTTAAAAAAAAAAAAAATCGAGGAGAAACGGGCTCGGCACATCTCTAGGAAGATTGCCGGTGGAATTCCCCCGCGGTCGGAGGGCTGGGAAATAATTTGGGCAGATATTTTTTTTTTTTTTGTTAGACCATTTACCCGGTTGCGCAATCGCCTCGTGGGTGCTCTCTCCGCTGGCTTGGCTTTGGCGTCCTGTGGGCGCAAACAAGTCGGGGGACCAAAGGAATAGGCTGGACTTTGGTGTGATGAGGAGTGATGGAGCTTCCAAACATCGTCATGACCTCTACCTGCTTCCCAGTGACGCTGGTGGGCGTCCCTTCCCAGCAGCTCTCTTGGATTTGGGTTGTACAACAGCAACGTGGAAGATGTTTTCCAACTGCCCTCAGAACGTTCCCAAATAACCCTTCCTATTTTAGAACCTTTTTTTTGGGGGGGCCAGGGGGTACTTTTTGACTTTCAAGCAGCACCTTAATAGGGCTTAGAAACAAGAGACCTTGAAGTGCCTTGGAAGCGAGCGTGTTATTAAATCTGGAGGTGTCTTTCGGTGACAAGCTATTAATATTTAAATCCTGCAACACTTTGCAAATTGAAAACATTAATGAGTGTTTATGAAGTGCTTTGGTATTCAGAATTCTGAGGAAGCCTCAGCATCCTGTTTGCTCACTATTGCGCTTATTTTCCATTCAAATTAATGCCAGGAACGAGGTGAAGGTCACACAAGGAGCTCTGCCGTGAACTCCGGTGTTCCTGGAGTTGGTTACACGTGGCTGATTCTTTGTGGGAAAAAAAAAAACCAATGTGATTCTTTTGAAAAACAGCATTTAGAGCTCTTTTAGTGCTAATCTTCAGAATTTCTTTATTTCCACATTAAGCTCACACTTGAATTCTCCCCCTTGTTGTGCTGAGGTCAAGCCCGTTGGTGAATTCACGTGTTGCAAACAACGCCAGAGTCGTAATTTTGATTGAAAACATTCATTCTGCTCGTGCAGCAACATAATTTCAATTCACGAGCACTTTGGAGGAATGGAATTAAGATTTATGTATAGTTCTGGCTGTTTTTTCTGAAGTTTAATATGAAACTCCTTCACCTACATTTACATTTCCTTTAAGTAAAAAACCTGTGTTTTGTTGCATCACTTTCCGGTGAAACCCAAACATCCAACACATGGAATAGTTTTCCTTTTTATTTACTGAAATTTTTTCTCTCTTTCCAATGTCCTTGAGAAGGCAGAAATGCCTTTTACGTTGCACAGAAATAAACTTCCGTTTTTCACAACCCAGGCAATAAAATGGTATCAGGAATGTCGCCGGCCCAGAAAATCGGAAGATGAAAGAAACCTGTAATACATCTGCCATACGGGAGGCTTGGGAACACACTAATAATCCCAAACAATGAAGAAAATTACATTAATTGAAGATATGACGTGGACAGGCAAATTTGTTTTTCCAACCAATAAGGCAACAAACCTTTTTGAATACTCAGGGCGTCGGAGATAAGCCAGGAGGGCCAAGAGGGAGTATAAAAAGGGCTGGGAGCTCAAGGCTCCTCATCAGCTCCTTTGCCTTCCTCCTCCTCCTGGTGAACTCGGTGAGTTTTCCCTCCTTCCCTCACAGGGACTGGAAATTTTTGCCTCCGTGGTTTCTGCTGGGATTGGGGCTTCTCTGAAATTTAAGGTTTCTCCAGGAATTTCTCTGAAATTTAAGGTTTCTCCAGGAATTTCTCAGAACTTTAAGGTTTCTCCAGGAATTTCTTTGAAATGTAAGGTTTCTCCAGGAGTTTGTCTGGAGTTTAAGGTTTTAGCTGCACTGCAGGAATTTTGGTGGGTTCCAGTTTTAAAACTGGGGGTGAAACATGTCCTGTTGGCACCTGAGGCTCCCTGATAAGGGATTATTAGGGCAGTAGAGGTAGAAATGGGTTTCCCCACCATAACCCTTGGTGGTTTTTTCCCTAAATCTCCTATTTTAAAGTGAGATCTGCAGCTCTGTTTGGCAGGGCAGGTGTTCTCAGGTGTGTTAATGCTCCGTGGGTTGTTGTCTGTGCTGTCAGCACTTCCCGATGCAAATCAAAAATGGGTGGAAACCACTGAAATGGCACTTGGAGGGATGAACCCGAACATCACTTTGGGCTTCCTTGAAGACTTCCTTGATGGGAAGTTGGGAATGAAGGGCTCCACGCAAAGCTGATGTCCTGAAAGACTTTTAGGGTCACTCCTAATGTTCTCTAAGGAAAACCCCGAATCAGCAGCAAGGTTTTGGTCTGTAACAGGTAATTCCACGGTCGGGGTTTATCACCGGCCACAGAAAGTGAGAAAACCAAGTAACTTACAGACAAATGGTCCTCGGGGGCCCCTTCCAACCCAGCATCTTGGTGGCATTCTGTGGCCTGAATGAGGGGCTGGTGGGAACGGGCTGTAAGGAGGAGCTCGCCGGTCCGGGAATATTTACGGCCTCCCCCTTCCCTCCCTGCCGCCAGGTTTGCCTCCGGCGCAGCAAGATGACCTTCCTCCAGTGTGATGACGACTGCTACTCCCCCTGCAGCTACGGGGGCCTCTACGGCTACCGGGGCTACGACGGTGGCAGCTCCTGTGGCTACCGGGGCTACTACGGGGGCCTCTACGGCTACCGCGGCCTCTACGGCTTCGGCGACCGCTACGGCTGCGGGAACCTCTACGGTTACCGGGGTATTTACGGCTCCGGGGACTGCTACGGCTCTGGGGGTCTCTACGGTGGCTATAGGGGCTTCTACGGCTCCGGGGACTGCTGTGGATACCCAGGTTTTTACTCGGGCCGCTACGGTTACCCCTACGGCTCCCGCTACGGCCAAAGGTTCGGCTACGGGGGCTGCTACAGCTGCTAAACCCGGCCAGGGCGTCCTTCGGGGTGAAGATCAGCCCAAACCTGGAGAGCAAGTGTTGGTGGAGAGCCTTGGCAGCAGATGTTGTGCAGAGCCCTGGGGCTTTCAAGATTCGAGAGCTCTGCGCTGCCCCTGAAGCGCTTGGGGTGATCCCCTCCGTTCTGCTCGGTGTCTGCCGGCTCTGCCGCCACCCAAAGTCTCCTCCCGACCTAGAACTTGCTTGTCCTCGGTGCTCCAGTCCTCGTAAACCGGCTCTGATGTTGTTTGGCAGCACCTGAACTCTTGACTGGGTGGTGGGCAGGGTGTAAAGGTGTCTTTGGGAACGTGGTCTTTCCGTTTGGTGTCTCTTTATAAAAAGTATATCTGCCTTTCACTCGCATTAAAAACTTATTCTGCATCAATCCTGCATTTTCCTGGTTTTATTTTCCACTTTGTTTTCTGAAATACCTTCAAATCCACGGCAGCAAACAGTGATAAATTTATTAACTTTGTGTGCTTAAGGACTTGCCTGTAGAGACTTGTGCTCCTCAGGCTGGAAACAGGGACTTTTGGAGCTGCAAGAAACTTGAGCTGTGGCTCTGGATTTGCCTGTTCCTACAACTCCAGGCTTTGGCTTGGTGGAAAAATAAGTGATTCATCTCCGGATGCTTCGGTGCTGCTGTTGGGCCAGTGTGGTGTGATTAGAACATGACCTTCCCCCCACTGCAGATTTTGTTCTGCTCAAATGGGTTTTCTTCTGGTCTGTGTGGAAGATAGAGGTGGTGGTTTGAGCTTTCCAGGCCAATGTCAGCACGAGCAAAGCCACCACTTCCTCCTTGTCCCTTTGCCTATTGATTTTAATATAGATTTTTAATTTTTCTTGTGCTTATACTGACTGACAATGCAATTAAGCTGGAATGTGATAGGAAAATGGGACTCTGGAACAAGAACATTTGAATTTGGCTTGCAGGAATAGGACAATATTCTGCTCACTTGAACAGTTTTCTATATTCTCTGTGCAAGTCTGGGATGAATTCTTTTCTATTTTGCAACATTATTATAAAGACTATTGCAGCCCTATTGTGCTGAAATATTAACTCCACCCCGGGCAAAACCAGCCCATTTAACCTCAGATCTGGTAATAGTTTAATTAAGTAAATGAAAGGGAGAAACTGGGGCATTTCTTGCATTCCTGAGGGGTAAAAGAGAAGAAAAGGGTGTATTTACTGGGACCTCAGCCGACTGATTTTCCAGATCCTTCCCCAGTTCTGTTCCCTTTTCTGGACATGTGTCAGCCCCTCAATGTCTTTCTTTCCATGAGGGGCCCAGAATAGGACACAGAACACGGGGTGCAAACACTTTGTCGGCTCTGGGGATAGAAACTCCCTTTCAGGATGTCACCACTCAGTGTGGTCACGTAAAACAGGGACAGGGGCAAGAAAACAACCGGATCTCCAGGGTTTTTTTCAATGCAGAAAGACAGACTTTAATGCAGGAAGAAAAGGAGTTGGCACAGATACAGAAAGATTATAGTTTTGGGATACTGGAAGGAGCTACAGGAGGTGAGTCACTGCACTGGAGAACATTCCTTCTTGTTGGAACCCATGTTGTTCATCCTCCAGGTGCTTGTAAATCCAGATCAAAGGCGAGACAGCCGTAATCCTGCTCCATTACAGTCCTGCAGCACCTCACTGGAAGTGCTTATTGAGGATGCAGATGACCCAAAAATCTCATATGGGAACAGGTCCTCCGGAGCAGCTGCAAGAAGTTCCGCGTGAATTGCAGATCGTCCCTCCCGTTGCTGCGAGGGAGTTTAAACACAGGAGGCCACCAGGAGGGCTGGGAAAGGCAGGGAGAAGCAGACAGAAAGAGCAGACAGACGGAGAGAAACCCCGAGGGATTTCAGAGCGCGGCCGAGCTCCCCGTTCCCCGTGACATCGGGTGCCACCGCGGGGACTCGGCGCGCGTCTGAACGTCCCGTCGGAAGATCAGCCATGGGTCTGGGCACGGTGCTGGGCCTTGCTGGAGGGGCTGTGGGGGGTTCAGCAGCAGTAGGAGTAGCGGCAGCAGGAGGGGTAGCAGTAGCGGGTGGTGCAGGAGCGGTAGCCGGAGCGGCGCAGGGTGCGGTAGATGCGGGGGCTGCAGCAGCTGTAGGTCCTGGAGCAGCGCACGCTCCGGTAGCAGGGGGAGCAGCAGCACAGGGTGTAGCAGGGGGAGCAGCAGCAGTAGGACATCCTGGTGGGGTGGTGGGAGGGAGGGAGGGAGGGAGGCCAACCTGGAACAGAGCGGGATCGGTGAAGGTGGGAAGTCGGGTGGAAACACTGAGCAAAAATCCCTCGGTTTGGGGGTGTGATTCTCATTTCAGAGGATCATTCTCACCTCACTGAGGTTGGAGAAGACTTCCAAGAGTCCGTCCCTGTGCCCCATCCCCAGCTTGTCCCCCAGCCCAAAGCACTCAGTGCCATGGCCAGGTCTTCCTTGGACACCTCCAGGGGTGGGGACTCCCCCACCTCCCTGGGCAGCCCCTGCCAAAGCCTGACCCCCCCTTTTCCATCAAGAAATTCTTCCTGAAGAAGAAATTTAGTGGGTTTGTGGGAGTTTGATGTCCAAGCTCCCAGTTCAGGCAGCTGAGGTAAATCCTCAGCTCAGGATAAGATGTTTAGGTGTCCTAAATCTGACCTGGATCCCTCACAGCACTTCCAGGAGTTCTTAGAAGTGTTTATACACCACACAACAAGTTCATTGAAGTCTCAACCCTGCTTCTCTGGCTTTAATCTTGGCATATAAACTATTCCTCTTCCTGTCTAACATTGGCTTTGTTAGTGCCAGTTCTAGCAAGGACACTGAAAATCCTCTGCTGCAGAGTGAAGGTTTAAATCCTGCACTGCTGCAGGTCAGAGCTGCCCCAGTGACTCCAGAGACCCTGAAACAATCCATGTGACCTGTCCATATCCATTAGTGCAACACCTTCCCAACCCGAAGCCATTTCCTCCTTGTGCAATGGGCAATCCTGCCCACAAATGAAAATCTCAGGGTTAAGCATCACCAGGTCAAAAAAGAAACACAGAACTTCACGTCCACTCATCAACGCCCTCCAAATTAAAACATCCAGGACAAAACAATTAGATTTATCCCTGAGTTAAAGGAATCTCTATGAGAATAGGATCTGGACTTACCAAGTTCACTGAGAAGGGTAAACCAAGAGGAGCTGTGTGAGGAGCACCGGGGTTGTGAGCATTTTTATATTCCTTCTTAGACCCGTGGAAGTCACCTCAGTTCTCCGGGGGGGTGGTCACGAGACCAATTTGGGAAGTACATCAGCAGCCCAATTGCTATAATTGTTTTCCTCCCCCTTTTTTAGGCCAATTTTCCACATTCCTGGGGGAGGGCCTGGTGATCACACCCTGGGAGATTCTTTCTGTTCTGAAAACCTTCCAGGACAAAGGGATTCCTGGGAAATCAGCCCCAGAGGACAACTGGGACCGAACCTGGAGGCTGCACAGAGCACGGAGGGCCCAGCTGAGGAGTCCATGATTGGTTTCTGCAGGTTCTGCCCCTACAAAGGAGGTGGATGCTGCACATTGTGGGGTGATGTAAAACACCTGGGGAGGGAAGAAATATCATCCGACCTGCTCAGGGCTCCTTCCGACCCTTTTGATTCATTTCCGCCACAATTAATGACAGACGTGCCATTGATTCTTTCAGCTTCTTCTGCCGCCTATAATTTATCCGGTGAGATGGCCAGGCCCAGGCAGGGGATCAATTAAATCAGCATCTGAGCAATGTGGTCAAGGCTCAAAGTCTGGTTTTCTTGCCTCTTTTCTGGGTGACATTACTAGAAAGACTTTCCTGAGTGACATCAGAGACATCTGTGAGGTATTTATGGCGTGTTTATATATCTGAGATTCTTCCCCTCTGCTCCTCTCTGCTGAGGTCCCACCTGGAATGCTGAGTCCAGCTCTGGTGGCCCCCGACATAAGAAGGACATGGAACTGTTGGAGCGAGTCCAGAGGAGGCCACGAAGTTCGTAAAGGGACTGGAGCATCTCCCATATGTTCAGCCTGGAGAGGAGAAGGTGGTGTGGAGACCTCAGAGCACCTTCCAGGGTCTGAAGGGGCTGCAGGGAATCTGGAGATGGATGTTCATCAGGAACTGGGGTGACAGGACAAGGGGAGTGGGTTCAGACTGACAGAGGGAAATTTAGGTTGGATATTGGGAAGAAATTGTCCCCTGTGAGGGTGGGGAGGCCCTGGCACAGCTGGAAGTGTCCAAGGCTAGGTTGGAGCAACCTGGGCTAGTGGGAGGTGTCCCTGCCCACGGCAGGGGGTGGAATTAGGTGATCTTTAGGATCCCTTCCAATCCAAACCATTCCAGGATTCTATAAACGTAATACTGAGCCGAGGATCTGGTGCTGCAGAACCAAATCTGGTCCATCACAGGGGTTGCAGTGGAGAAAAGAGGGAGAGCAGCTTTTAGGAAGGCTGGGGAAGCCAGTGGGATGGAGACCACACGTTCCTGACTGCTGGAAGCTGAGGATTGGGGGTGGCTGCTCACTCTGTGCCCCCTCACTCCCCAAGGGGGCTGTGGGAGGGATTTTCCCGAGCCAGGGAAGCGGGAATCACTTCCCTGATTTCCCTGTGGTGGTTTTTACCCTCTGGGACACACCAGTGCCTCTGTCAGCCCACACCAAGTGATGCCATGGCATAGTTTTAATTAAACTAAACCTCGTTAGCCCAGGGGCTTCCCTTCCCCTGCTCCATCCGTTGTGCATCGAGGCCCCTCTCAGTGGGAACCATCAGTGTTTCAATCACACAAACATTGCCAAAGTAACTTCTAATGACTGTTTTGGAAGAGCACTGATACCATAAATTCTGAGGAGGCTCAGCACTTCCAGAAAATGCCTGTTATTATCCTCATTTAATATGCAAATGAGGCTTGGCTCACGTCAGGGAAGGTCAAACGAGGAGGTATTTGTCGAGTTGGGGAAAAAAAAAAAAAAAGCCTCTTGGCTTCATGTTGGGCTCAGTTTCCTCTGGCAAGCCAGAGGTGGGGTTGAAAACCAGCATCAGTAAGTTTTGCTGTGAAATATTAATATGATTTTACCTTCTTTACATCCTCTTGTCCCTTCTGGTATCTGGGATTTCATAATTAGAGCTGAGGTCGACCCCAAAAAATTTGCAGACCAAAGAAACGCGCAACTCTTGCGCTGTGGGGATGAAAATAAATTAATGATCCTCGACAGGGAGGAAACCAATTATATTAATTGAAGTTGTGACGTGTGTGTGCAAATAAATTTCGTTTTGCTGCTGTTTGCTCAGGTTTTCTGAGGCACCAAACAACCTCCCAGGCAGCTGAGGGGCATTAAAATGCCATTAATTGACCTGGAAAGTCAAACAGTTTTGCAGGAGATTTTTCACAGGTAAATAACTGCTCTGAATGAATCCAATATTTTGCTGTCCTGAATCTGGGGAATCAGAAATCCAGCTGGAGAAGTGGGAATTCTGCACCTACAGACACAGGGAAATGCCCCAGCTCTCAACAGACAGCAGAGTTCAGTCATTAAGTGGAAATATAATTTATAAAAACTCTTGTTAATTATAGAAAGATGGAGTCAAAATCACAGGGAATAATATATTGAGACATTTAGTGAGGAGCTCTGACTCACAAGAACAGGTTAAAGCTGGTAATCCCCACAAAATTCCAATTGTTTTTCACCCTCTTCATTTGCCAAACGATTTTTCCTGTATTGTTCCTTCATTTGATGCATTTTCCCAGCTCTTCTGGGGTAGGATTTATAAACAAACAAGTGTTAAAAACACTGTGCTGAAAAGACAAACCATTTTGTGTCTTTCAGACCCTGAAACAGGGAAGTTTATGATTTGCTGCATCAACCACTAACTTTACTCTAAAACTTCTTAACCCAAATTTCTGCATAAACCAGAGTTGCTGCTTTTTAATAAGAAATGAATCCCTGCAACTGCTGAAGGTGACCAGTTGAGGGAAACGTTGATTTGCATTTTCAAGACTCACATCAGAGAGAGGAGTCGCAGTAAAAGGAAATTATGGAATTGCTGAGGTTGGAAAAGCCCTCCAAGTCCATGAAGTCCAAGCTGAGCCCCATCCCCACCTTGTCCCCCAGCCCAGAGCACTCAGTGCCACATCCTTGGACACCTCCAGGGGTGGGGACTCCCCCACCTCCCTGGGCAGCCCCTGCCAAGGCCTCACCACCCTTTCCATGGGGAAATTCCTCCTCATGGTCAGCCTGACCCTCCTGGCAGGGAGTTGCAGAGAGAATTTGGCCTCCCACCTGCAGAATGGGGATTTGTGGGAGAGCTGGAACTCCTGCAGCGAGGAAGGAGAAACATTTCCTGTTGGGAATCACTCCCAAAACTCTTCTTGTGGCTCCAGATGGCTCCAGCCTGGGAGCCCTCCCAGTGGATTCATCCTTCCATCATCGAGCTGACAGTCACTTTTACTCTGAGCGGCTCCTCTCCCTCCCTGCCACGTGTTAATCATGGGGAAGAAGAGATTTACACTCCAAGCCTTATCTGCAATCTTCACTCCTCTCCTTTTCCTTTTGCTGATGGTGGAGGCTGGCAGGCACCTGCAGGATGCCACTTCCATGCCCTCTCCAGCTCCCTTGGAGCCTCTGTAGGCACTGGAAGGGGCTCTGAGGTCTCCCTTGGAGCTTCTCTTCTCCAGTGAACACCCCAGCTCTCCCAGCCTCCAGAGCAGAGGTTCTCCAGCCCTCAGAGCATCTCCATGGTCCCCTCTGGACTCGCTCCAGCAGCTCCACATCCACCTCACGCTCTCCCAGAGCCGAATGCAGGGCTGCAGGTGGGACTTGGATACTAAACATGCCCAGTTGTTGCTCGTGTGGATTGAAGGGCTGGCCACAATTACTCCTGGCCCTTCCCATGCTGTGTCCATCCCTCTCATGGGAGGTTCTGGTGCTTTCCTGGGGTTTCCTCAGCTCGGGAATTCCCTCCTGTGCTCCACAATCCTCTGCTGTGCTGCAAAAGGCACCTTCTGAGCTGCTCACCGTGAGAAGGGACCTGCACAAGGGGGTGTTTTGTGGGAGCTGCAGAAAGGTCTGGGAGTCTGGGATGATCCAAAATTTCTCAGTGCATTTTGGATCCTCGAACTTGGGCTGTCAGCAAGTGCTGATTGATTTTTCCCAAATCATCACACTTTGAAGCTCGTTTTTTTGGGGGAAAGCAGCCTTGTTTTGGTGGGTTGGGTGGAGGAAGGTTAAGGCACGGCAGATGTGAGTTGTCAGGACTGTCTTGGAGGAGACAAATCGAGGTGTTCAATATGCCCTCAGTCACCTCAATTCTGCAGGATGCTTAAAACTGCTGAACTCCTAAGTCAGTCCCTCTTTTTTTTTTTTTCTGCTATATGTCAAGTAAATAATTATTAAAGCCAAATATAAAAGGAAAAACAATTAAAATATAACCCAAGGCAGCGGTGTGATGCAAGATCTTTTAATGAGAGTAAGAAGAAGAAGAAGTTACAGCTTGTAGTAGTAGCACAGGAGTATCCAGAGGTTCACACATTCCTTAAACAGAGAGTTACTACAGTTTCACAGCAGGTGTTTTTGGGACTGAGGTGGTGTCTGGGGAGGAGCAGAACCCCCAGCGCAGCAGCACGAGGCGTCTGCTCCTCTCTGCTGCAAATCTACACGATTTATTCACCCAGAAAGGCTACGAAGGAAGAGAAAGACAACAAGAAAAGCAAATCACTCAGAACAGCAGCAGCTTGAGGGCAGATGCCAAGTCCTCAGGACCAACCCTGAGCAGGGGGGGGGTCCTGCTGCCACGACGGGGGCTCAACAGGAGACAAATCCATACGGAATCGCTCTTTGGGGCTCAGTTTCCTGTCCAGGGGGTTCCAAGGCCGGGTTTACCAGGGGTAGCAGGGGGAGCAGGGGTAGCAGCTCCTGTAGCTGTACCTCTGGGTGTAGCGGGAGGAGTAGGGGGAGCAGTAGCGGGTGCTGTAGGAGGGGCAGCAGTCGCGGTACCCGCACAGCCCCCCGACGCTCTGGTAGCCACAGGGGCTCCCACAGTCGTAGCTCCGGTAGCTGTACACGGTCCCGTAGCTGCAGGGGGAGTAGCAGGAGTCCTCACACTGCCTCTGGTAGCAGAAAGTCATCTTGGAGTGGGTGGGTGGAGGGAGGCGAGGCTGAAAAGCGAGAAGAAGGGGAGAATCGCGGAATGGTTTGGGTGGGAACCATCTCGCTGAGTCACAAAGCACTCTGAGGTGGAAGGGACTCAGAAGGATCGAGCCCAGCTGAAGGGATTGGCCCATAAGGGGATCAAACTCACAGCCTTGTTGTTATGAACACCTCCCACTAGCCCAGGTTGCTCCAAGCCCTGTCCAACCCAGCCTTGGATGCTCCCAGGATTGGGGCAGCCACAGCTTCTCTGGGAAGCACCTCCCCAGCTTCACAGGGAGCAATTTCTTCCCAATTTCCCCTCTAACCCTCCCCTCTGTCAGCTTGAAAGGTAAGAAGGTCAGGTCTGTTCCCAGCAGGAAGTTGCTGCTTCTGGGAAACCCCACATGAGCACGAGAAAGAGGGAGAGGAGAGAAGGGTGAGCGCAAGAACCAACTGAACATCTCAGTTCAAGGCTAGGCTTCGGTTCCTTCCTGCCCTTTCTGGTTGTTTCCCCCTTCTTTTCTCCATAAAAATATTTAGTGCTGCCATTCTGGTTTGTCACTGCTTGGGACTGGCAGCCTGGATTCAGGTTGGAATTTAGAGGGGACGTTGTTAGCACTGGGTTCTGGGATCAGGGCCCGATGTTGTTCCAAAACCCATCAGTGAACAGACACTAATCCAGGGATGAATCCCATCAGTTTTTGCTCTTGAGACGAATCACACAAGAAATCCTCCCCCTTGTGCAAGTCTGCTGGGAAAAAGCAGCTTGTTCCTTCAGATCCTTTTCTTAACATCACACCCAACCCTCCCCTGCCACAGCTAATCAATAATAAAGAACCCTGAACTGCATCACCACGTCCTAAAATAAGGCAATTTCTCACGCTGCACATCTAGATGAACCCATCTACATTTACAAGGGCGTCTTAATATATAACTTTTAGCAAAAAAAAGAGAGAATTTCATGGCTATGAAACCCCTTTTAAAGTATTAATGCCATCTCTATCCCAGCAGAGCAAACCCCAGCAATAAAGGCAGTGCAGCGAGCCTGACTTACCACGGCGGGCGAGAACGCAAAGCTGAAGATGCGAGTGCAGAACCTTGAGTTCCTCTCCCTTTTTATACCTTTATCTGCCCAAGCCTCCTGTGCTTTCAACTCCCTATTCATCAGAGCCCAGATTTAACGTCTGCACGTCACTCCTTCGGTTGATGTCATTGTTTGCTCTTGCTTTGGGATTATTAGTCAGGTCTTGGCTTCCAAAAGCATGACATTTTCTTTCATCTGCAGACTTCCTGGGTCAATTACATTTGCAGAATTAGTGTGGTGAAATCTGAGTTATAACAGGAAAGGGAAGGCAGGATATTGAGAGCAGGGTTAATTGAGGCTCACAATCCCAATTTTGGATGAATGGGCAAATGCCAGTTCGCGAAGCCTGCAATGACTCTGGATTCCTCAGAGGAACAAAGAACTGCAATTACTTTTGGTAGAAATAATTTATCATTTGTTTTGTTTGTTCTTTCAGGATTGCAGGGTTTGTATATTTTTAGTTACAATTTTTAAAATTTTTTTATTATTTTTTTTTAAATTTTTTTTGGTGCATGGATGTGTTAATTTTGTCCCTTGACCTCCCACAGGAAAGTCATTCTGTAGAAAATCTGATTTATTTGCTTGTTGTGCTCTATCAATTACTTTGAACAAACTCCTAAATCTACACAGAAGGAAACTGGTGTCCTTTTTGCTGTAAGAAGAGTGCAAATATATTTGAATAAAGCCAGGTGTTGGTGACTTCATGAGAACCTTAAAGCAGGCAGAAATCACCCATAAATCCAAATTATTTCAAGCAGAAGTAACGATATTTGAAATTTCCAGGCTTATTTTTTGTTGTTTGAAGTTCCCAGCCTTATTTTAGGAAATAAACTCACAAACTCCATTTTCTGGAGAGGCAGCCTAAATTTCACTGGCCCCAAAAATATCTGTTTGGTGCTTTTTTTTTCACATTTAGTTCCGAAAATGATTAGCTCATTTTTGAGCAAAACAGGGATTTATCTCTGTAATAACTGCAACTTTCCTGAGGAATCCCCCAAATTCCAAATATGGTTTAATGGGATGTTTTCTTAGTGTTGTCGAGGTGTTTAATTTAATTTGATGATTAATGCTGAGCCCTGCGAATGCCACTTGGTCTTCTTCCCTGCTGACCTTCACCTCCAAACGCTGCTGTTTACCCGCAATCCAAAAGGCAGGATAATGACAGGCACAGTCAGGAGTTCTTGGGTCCTTTTCTCTCAATTTTGCATATCAAAGCCTTCATTAACACTTATTAAATATTTCCCCGCACAAAGAGATTTATTATTGAAACGTTAATGCCACGTTGCTTCGCCCGGGTTATGTAAGACCCGCTCCCAAAAAAACAAAAAAAGCTCCATTAGGTTGTGCCGTTTCTGTGCTTTATTAAGTGGTGATTTATAGCTTCAGAATTGGGTCTCGGGGAGGTATTTTCCCCCCCTCTCTCTGCAGATGAGTTGTGTACATACCATTTCGGTGCTTCCAGGCCAATTTTCGGGCTGAATCAATCCCGTCCCGTTGCGTGATGGGATTAAAGGAATGGATGGTCTTTATCCCCCCCCCCAACCCCCAACAGGAAATGTTGGAGAGGTTTGGTCATTAGAGTTATGAAACACGTGAAAAGCAGAGGCTGTGCTTCCCTTCCATCAGTGTTCCAAGGTGGGAGAGAGGGGAAAAATGCAGAGGGAAGCGAGTGGGCCAACGTTGCTTCTCCAAGCCGAAGAGAATTCGTGAGTCTTCGGGAATTTGTGAGTCTCTGCATTTTCTGGCGACCTGTCGCCGTCCTCAAGAGCCAACTCAGCAGGATGATACCAAGGCTTAATTGCCCTGGGTAGCTTGGAGATGAAAGGCACCAGCGGGGTGTTGCCTGGACCAATAATCAGAAACCCTGCGGAGGAGCAGGATATCAATGAGAAGGAGTCATGGGGGGAGGCAAAAAGGGGTTGGTAATTGGAGCTGACCCAGGGGTGGGGGGCGGGACTGGGCGCTCTATAAAAACCCTGCACAGCCGAAAACCGGGCACTCACTTCTCCTGCTCTCTCCTCCTTGGACACTTGGGTAAGTCAGAATAGGAAATTCGGGTGAATAACGAATATTTGATACTATTTCCCCCCGCTTTCTTTTCCGCCGATCTACAAGATAAAGGCATTGGGAATTAAGGCTGGGATTTGACGGGAATTATTCGTATGTAAAACAGCCCTTTCTTCCTGGATTTCAGTTAGTATTGGAATGTTTGAAACGGTGTCATTCCCGCGTGTATCCCCTTTTCCCTTAAAGCCTTTGCCTCGGTACGGCTGTGAAGGGGTTTTTGGTTTATTCCCTGCCAGCTCTTTTGACGCGGCTCACAAATCCCATTTCCCCGTGGGGTGCAATCATTGAGGGGTGGGAAAAGCTCAGGATGGAGGGGTTAGGGGTTTAAAAACCAGGAGAGAACAACAGACGGGCGCACAGAGAGCCGGGCAGCGCCTTTGCTGCACGTCCCCGAGATTTCCTCTCTGCTCATCTCGCACCTCACAGGCTTTTTTTTTATTATTTTTTTCCTGCTCCGTTTCAGGCTCGCCTCCCTCCACCTCAAGATGACTTTCTACTACCAGAGGCAGTGTGAGGACTCCTGCTACTCCCCCTGCAGCTACGGGACCGTGTACAGCTACCGGAGCTACGACTGCGGGAGCCCCTGTGGCTACCAGAGCGTCGGGGGGCTGTGCGGGTATCGCGACTGCTGCCCCTCCTACAGCACCCGCTACTGCTCCCCCTACTCCTCCCGCTACACCCAGAGGTACAGCTACGGCAGCTGCTACCCCTGCTACCCCTGCTAAACCCGGAGGGTGCGAAAAACCGGCTGGAATTAAGGAATTCGCCGCCCCTTTTTTTTTGCCGGATGCTCCGGGACGGCTGCGGGACCCCGGGGATGCTCAGCGTTCCTGTAGAGCTTCAGATGTTCTTCCAAAGCGTTTTGTCTTCCTATTTTTTTAGGTTTTTTTTTTTCTCTCTGCTGGTTTCTTAGCCCTGCCAGGGTTTGGTGGTGGAGTGGAGGAAAGCGGGTTTAGTGTTGGTTAATTTGGGTAAACTACTTAGCTGATTTATGGCTCTTTCCCGGCTAATTTGAATGAAATCTAGAGTGTGCCTGTACAAGCCCTCCTAGGGATGTATTTCTGCCTTGGCTGCCTTGGAAACTACACCAAAGAAACATTAATTCATCTAATCAGGTTTGTTTCATTGGACTTCATACAAGTGGAAAGGTTTAATAATGGAAATGGGCAGCAAAATGCTCCAGCAAAATTGTTCCCATGAAACCGGGAGATTTTCTGCAGATATAAATTCATGTTGTACCCATTTCTTTCTGCTTCTGCTTTCTGTGCTGTTTTAGATTGTGAGCTTTATTCTTATTAAAAAATGTTCCAGCATCATTACATGTCCCTGGTTTTCTTTTTCTGGCTTGGATATACAGAGATTTTTTTTGTCCATGGCTTGATGTTTTAGGAGACACCCAGCACCCTGTGGCTCTCATGAAACTCATTTTAAGCTCAGTTCAACCTGAGCACACTAATTTTGCAAATTAATAACCCTCAGCTGACCATCATCTGACACCCCTTGGAGATATTTGGATGGATAAGTGGATGGATGGATGGGAGCCCTTTCAGATGAGAGATTTGTGTGGATGTTTGATATATTTGTATGGATAGATGGGATCCCCTCCCAGCCTTCTTTTCTCTGGATAACCAGGCCCAGTTCCCACAGCCTCTGCTCATCAGAGATGCTCCAGACCCCAAATAATTCTTTGTGGCCTCTGCTGGACTTTCTTTGCTATCTCCTTGTCTTTCTTGAACTGTGGGGACCAGGACTAAACACCAAACTCCAGCTATGGCCTCCCAGTCCCATAAAAGGAACACAAAATAGGCTACAACACAAAATATGAACTCAAAATTCATCAAAAATCTTTGCCAGGAAAGCTGTTTGGATTTTACTTCCAGCAACTTTGGGGATGGAGCTTTCCCAGGGCTTCTGAGAAGCTTTTTTCCTTGGGAATCACTCAATGATTTGGTGACCTTGGCATTAAGGTTTATAAATTAAGCAGTAACTCATCTAATTTCAATCTTTTCATCAGTTAAATCTATTTAATAAAATATAGGGAAGTTATAAACAAGTTGCTCAGTAAAAACTGCAGAGCTGTGTGTCAGAGAGCACAAATTTAGAGAGACAATATTATGTTAAATTATGTTAAATTATGTTAAAAAACTCTCAGGAGTTCCACAGACTGCACTTTTAGCTGCTTCATCAGGGGACTGAGTTAACAGAAAGAGTTAAAAATCCGTGGAATACAACACATGTATTGGAAAGTCTTAAGATAAAGCTAAGAAAGAAATCAGAATTTTGAGGATGAGAAGGCAAAGGAGGCAATTTTAGGGTCTCTGGTGGTTGGCTGTGCAGAGCCACATTTGAATGAAAAATTTGAAGGCTATAAAATCCCACTGTGACTAAAGCAAGCATTGAAATGCCCCAACACGCACCTTTGAAGTGACTGTTTTTCAATAATGAAGCACCTGAGAAGAGAATTAAGCTTTTAATAGACTAATAACACACTATAAATACATAAAATAGTTACGAGCGTCTGAGAGTTTCTTTGAACTTCTAAAATTATCTACCGTGGTAAATTGTGAAGACACCGTGTATTTCTGCTGGAGAAAAGGACCAAAGAAGGGATAAATAAATTAACTGATACTTTTCCCTTTAAACCTGTCCCTTAGAATGGGGATAATGACTTGTTTGTACCCGTTGTGTGCTACAACACAAGGGTGTCAATGAGCTGTTGAACAGCTCACAAACTCTGTTCACTGAATAATGTGGCCTGAGCTTCAGGATCAACATCATCTCAGGAGGAATTTCCTCCTGGAAAGGGTGGTCAGGCCTTGGCAGGGGAGGGTCAGGGAGGTTTGGAGTCCCCACCCCTGGAAGTGTCCAAGGAAGGACTGGAAGTGGCACTGAGTGCTCTGGGCTGGGGGACAAGGTGGGGATGGGGCACAGGGTGGACTCGGATGATCCTGGAGAGCTTTTCCAACCTCAGGGATTCAGGGACTCTGTGAACATGTCCCTGCTCAAGGTGGACAATCAGAAGAGCAAACTCATAAAAACCAACCAAACACCAAGTTACTGCAGCAAAGTGAAGTCTTTATTGGGGATGGAAAATGCAACAGAGAGTGGCAGCAAGACACAAACCAGCACAGGGACAAGGAATTGGAGACACAAAAATCCTAAGGCAGCAGCAAGGCCCAACCCAGGGCTCCACCCCAAAGATTCCCCCTTCCTCTTGCAGGCTGGGAGTCTCCGAGCTGGGCAGAGCAGGGCAGAGGCTCATCCGAGGGTCAGAACAGCTTTGTTGTAGGGCAGGGAGAGGGGAGCTTCTGGGGGCCAGTGCTGGAAACCCCAAAGCCACCAGCTGAGGCTCTGCAGGGTCACCCTGTGCAAATCACAGGCAGCTGCTCCTGCAGCCTGAAGAGGGGCTGGAAGCTTCATCCTGGCTCAGGTGGGAGAGGCCGAGAGGGGCTGGTTGTGGAGCCCCAGGGCAGGGGCAGCACTGAACTCCCTGCACATTTGGGCTTTAGCAGGGGCCACAGCTGCCACGGCCCCAGCCACGGCCCCAGCCCCCATAGCCCCCACAGCCTCCAAAACCCCCATAGCCATAACCCCCATAGCCATAACCCCCATAGCCACCCAGGCCTCCATAGCCATAACCCCCATAGCCCCCACGGCCTCCAAAACTGCCCCCAAAGCCCCCTCCAACAGCAGGGACTCCTGCTGAGCCCACAGCACTCTGCTGGGGGAAGGAGCTGAGGATGGGCCCGGGGAAGGTGACCACTGAAGGTGGGGGCTGGATCACCACCGTGGAGTCGGGGCACTGCCGCACGCAGGGCTCGTTGCACGTGTCAGCCAGAGGGGCCGGGGTGGCCACCCCACAGGAGGAGGGCAGACACAGGCTGGAGCAGGACATGGTTCCCACAGGCAAGGAGTTCTGGAGAACAGGGAGAAAGCAAAGGTGTGAGGAAAGGGTTGTGTTGAGGGGAAGAAAGGAGAGATCTCCGAGAGGTTTGTGAGAGCTGGACTTACCCGGTTGGTGAGGAGAGTTGAGTGGAGGAGTGTGGATAGAGGTCTGCAAGGAGCTCAGCTCTTTTATACCCATCCCATGGTGCCTGAGGCAACAGGAAAGGGGGTGGGGGCCCAAACCCCAGATAATCATGAAATCCACGGGAGAAGCTTCATGATGCGAGACAATTATAGGTAATTCACGCACAGGGACATTGGCATGGGAAGGACAGAGAGTGGCACATCACCACATGAAAGAAAAGGTAATTTAACCCCCAATAAACCCTGATTTGTCCCTAATCCCTCCTTTTGCTTACACAGAACAATCCTGGGCATCCTGTGGGCCATGGCAGTGCCCAGGGACACCGCACTGAGCCACAGCCCAGCCCTGCACGTGAGCCCTCAGTGCCTGTGGGACCATGGGCACGTGCAGCCTGGCTCTCTGGGGCTGCTCAGCCAACAGCTCCTGGCACAGCCCTCCTTGCTGGGCAATCCCAGCCCCTCACAGAGGGTCAGGCAGGACCGTGCCCACAGTCAGAAGGCTGAGGAGCTCGCAGTGCCCTGGGCCTCTTGCTGCCCATCTGCTCCTCCATTGGTGTCCCCTCTCCCAGAGCTCTCCCCAGTTCTGTCCCACTGCTCTCCACAGCCCCTGGGTGGTTGTGGCTTTGCCACATGTGGCACCTGTCTCCTCTACTCTTTGCGTGGCCAGTGAGTGAAACATGGACCTAAAAATCCCAATGACTGCAGAACCTTAGAGGAGGGAATTCACAGAGATGGTGGGGGACCCCAAGACCATGAGATGAGCAGTTTGTGCTGGCAGTGGGAGTTGATGGGTCTTTGGGAGTAATTCTGAGCTTGGAATGGCTTCTCCTCTGCCCAACCTGCTGGTGCTTTTGTTTACCAGCCTGTAAAAGGGAGGTAATGACAGGCGTGATGCCTGTGACAGGATTTCAGATGCTTCTCCAAGATGTCTGGAATTCCTCACTGTAAGCAAAATGTGGGATTAGGGACAAATCGGGGTTTATTGGGGCTGTGAGTTACAGCAGCACCTTGCCTTTCATGTGATGATGTGCCATGATCTGTCCCTACCATCACCTGCCTCTTGTCCAGGGCATGTTTGAACACAAGTGTCCACAATGAGGGGATGACATATATTCGTCACATCATCTGTGTCATGAAGCTTTTCAGCCTGAATTCCCAGTTACATGGAGTTTGGGCCCCTACCCCCTTTCCTGTCGCCTCAGGCACGGTGGGACGGGTATAAAAGAGCTGAGCTCCTTGCAGACCTCTATCCACACTGCTCCACTCGACTCTCCTCAACAACCGGGTAAGCCCAGCTCTCACAAACCTCTTGGGAACTTCTCCTTCCTCCTTCTATGCAACTTCTTCCTCACACCTTGGCTTTCTCCCTGTTCTCCAGAACTCCTTGCCTGTGGGAACCATGTCCTGCTCCAGCCTGTGCCTGCCCTCCTCCTGTGGAGTGGCCACCCCGGCCCCTCTGGCTGACACGTGCAACGAGCCCTGCGTGCGGCAGTGCCCCGACTCCACGGTGGTGATCCAGCCCCCGGCCTCAGTGGTCACCTTCCCCGGGCCCATCCTCAGCTCCTTCCCCCAGCAGAGTGCTGTGGGCTCAGCAGGAGTCCCTGCTGTTGGAGGGGGCTTTGGGGGCAGTTTTGGAGGCCGTGGGGGCTCTGGGGGTTACGGCTATGGAGGCCTGGGTGGCTATGGGGGTTATGGCTATGGGGGTTATGGCTATGGAGGCCTTGGGGGCTCTGGGGGCTGTGGGGGCTCCAGAGGTGTCGGCACCTGCGATTTCGGGGGCTGGCGCAGTGGCCACAGGTACCTCAGTGGCAACTGCGGGCCCTGCTAAGCCCCTCACCGAGCGCGGCCACAGACCCAGGAGAGCTCCAGGAAACCCCTCAGCACATCCCGACACGGCACCTGAAGGAAGGACACCCCTCGGGCATCGCTGGGCTCCACAACTTGGGCACCTCGTGCCTGCTGGGGGCCCAACTCTGCCCCTTTCCTGCTGTGCTTGAGCCTCCCCTCCGGACCTGCTGCCTCCTCCCAGCACAGCCCCGGGCTGGGCTCCTGCTCCTGCTCCTGACAGGGCTCGGCTGAGCTCTGCCCACTGCCAGGAGCCAGGGAAGCCCTTAGCCTAGGGCCCTGCTCTTCTGGTAACTCCTTCCTCCCCCCAACTGCAATAAAAGCTGTCTTTGCATTGCAATGTTGAGCCCTGGTTTCATTTGCTCTGTCCTCCACACCCAATCCCTGAGTGGCACCGGGGCTTTCCAGCAGCTCCTGCTCGGTGAATCCTTAGGCAGGTTTCCTCCTGCCTGTCCCTGGCCATCCCACCCCTCTGCAGGACAGCCCCCACAGCGAACACCATCATCATCTCCCTCCACAGCAGCTTCTCCCTGGTTGCCCTTCCTGTCTCCTCCCCACTTTGGGTTCCTGCTCTCTGCAGCCCAACCAGGGCTCCTGGGCCTCACAGGCACTTCCCTGCCCTCTCTGGACATTCCCAGTGGGCTGCCTGAAGCCCCAGAACTCTGGGGACTGGAACACAAATGGAATCACTCCAACACACATGGCCCAGCTCAGAGTCACTTGGGAGGCCGTGGGTCGAGAGGGGAGAGGGTGAACAACCCCAACACCTCCCCGTTCCTTTTGCCTCCATCCTCTCCAACAGTCTTGCACCCCCACACCACCTCCCTGTCCTTTTTTTACTATGGGTTACACTGCTCCTTGGAGCCCTCCTGGCCCCTTCTTGTCTCCAGAAATCCTTCCTGGGATTCCCTGTGTCACCCACACATCCCCCATGGACACAGCTCTGCCCAGGAATGGCAGGAGGGCTTGCCACAGCCTCGTGCTCTGGACCACACTCTGCTGGGCATGGGTGGCCTTTGAATCCCATGGAGTCTACGTGGCCAAGCTGGACTAAGGGGTCCATGGGGTCTGTAGGGCCTGTGGGGCCTGGCAGGACTAGGGGGCTCAGAGGGTCCATGGGGCGTGTGGGTCCTTTGAAGCCTATGGGACAGTTGTGGCCTATGTGGTCTATGAGGCCCAAGGGATCTATATGGACCAGGGGGTTTATGTGGCACATATGGAAGGCAGTGACCTCAGGAGGGTGGGCAGTTTGACCCAAGGGTGTTGGGCTCTCCAACCTCCTGCTCCAACAACTTTGTCCTTCATGACACTGAACACCTGGGGATATTTCATGGCCCTGAGAGGAAACTTGGCCAGATTTGGCTGGATCTGTCTCACCACCCATTCCCAGTGACCACCATCTCCAGCTGGGAACACGGACATGGCCAGAGACCCTGGACATGCACTTGGTCATCCCTCCATTTCCCTGGACCTCCAGATGGGACCAACACTAGGCTGATCAAAGGAGGTGGTGCCAGGCAGGCTGGTTTGACAGAGGACTTGGAAGAGTTTATGCAAGACACTCATGGCACTTTCCCATGGTCAACATGGGCTTTGGGAAGGTCTTGTGTCTATCTGTGGTGGGACAGCAGGGGAAGCTTGGTGGGATTTGCCAACCCAGACCCTGCTGGCATCATCTCTAACACATGGACCAAATGCCCAGAGGTTCAAAGGGCACTGCCATGGGAGATTCCAGCAGACAGACAGACCCTCCCCAGGATTCAGGGGAAGTGGGAAACAAGGAAGGATGAATTAAAACCAGGGATCAACATTGCAATGCAAGAAAGCTTTTATTGCAGCTGGAGGGGAGGAGGGAGCTGGGACAAGAGCAGGGCCCTGGCCAAGGGCAGGCCCATCTCCAGGCAGAGGGCAGAGCTCCAACGAGCCCCAGCCCAGGAGCAGGAGCAGGAATCCAGAGCAAGTCCTGTCAGCAGGGACAGAGAGTCTCGTGGGGAAGCTCAGGCGGGGCAGGAGGAAGGCAAAGGTGGTTCCCAGGCAGGCACGAGGTGTCCAAGCTCCAGAGCCAGTGATGCTGAAGGGCTGGTTTTCCAAAGAGGGTCATGTCGGGAGGTGCCAGCGGCTCTTCTGGAGCTCTCCTGGGTCTGTGACTGCACTCGGTGAGGGGCTTAGCAGGGCCCGCAGTTGCCATTGAGGTACCGGTGGTTACGGCGCCAGCCCCCGTATCCACAGCTCCCATAGCCCCCATAGCCTCCCCAGCCCCCAAGGCCTCCCCAGCCCCCATAGCCACCACAGCCTCCCCAGCCCCCAAGGCCTCCATAGCCATAACCCCCATAGCCATAACCCCCATAGCCCCCAAGGCCTCCATAGCCGTAACCCCCATAGCCGTAACCCCCATAGCCCCCACGGCCTCCAAAACTGCCACTAAAACTGCCCCCAAAGCCCGCTCCAACACCGGGGACTCCTGCTGAGCCCACAGCACTCTGCTGGGGGAAGGAGCTGAGGATGGGCCCGGGGAAGGTGACCACTGAGGCCGGGGGCTGGATCACCACCGTGGAGTCGGGGCACTGCCGCACGCAGGGCTCGTTGCACGTGTCAGCCAGAGGGGCCGGGGTGGCCACCCCACAGGAGGAGGGCAGACACAGGCTGGAGCAGGACATGGTTCCCACAGACAAGGAGTTCTGGAGAACAGGGAGAAAGCAAAGGTGTGAGGAAAGGGTTGTGTTGAGGGGAAGAAAGGAGAGATCCCCAAGAGGTTTGTGAGAGCTGGACTTACCCGGTTGTTGAGGAGAGTCGAGTGGAGGAGTGTGGATAGAGGTCTGCAAGGAGCTCAGCTCTTTTATACCTGTCCCATGGTGCCTGAGGCAACAGGAAAGGGGGTGGGGGCCCAAATTCCAGGTAATCAGGAATTCAAGCTAAGTTTCATCAGAAAGATAATGATGCAAGAGAATTATATGTCATCCCCACACCGGGATGTTGGTGTGCAAACGTGCCCTGGAGTGAAAGGAGGTGATAGGAGGAACAGAGCGTGGCACATCATTACATGAGAGACAAGGTGCTGCTGGAGCTGAACCAATAAACCCCAATCTGTCACTAATCCCACATTTTGCTTACAGAGAGGAATTCCAGGCATCTTGGAGAAGCATCTGAAATCCTGTCCCAGCCATCACGCCTGTCATTACCTCCCTTTTACAGGCTGGTAAACAGAGGCACCAGCAGATTGGGCAAAGGAGAAGCCATTCCAAGCTTAGGGTCACTCCCAAACACCCATCAACTCCCAATGTCAGCACAAACTGCTCATCTCATGGTCTTGGGGTCCCACACCATCTCTGTGAATTCCCTCCTCTGAGGTTCTGCAGTCACTGGGATTTTTAGGTCCATGTTTCACTCGTTGGCCCGCAAAGAGTAGAGGAGACAGGTGCCACATGTGGCAAAGCCACAACCACCCAGGGGCTGTGGAGAGCAGTGGGACAGAACTGGGGAGAGCTCTGGGAGAGGGGACACCAATGGAGGAGCAGATGGGCAGCAAGAGGCTCAGGGTACTGTGAGCTCCTCAGCCTCCTGGCTGTGGGCACGGTCCTGCCTGACCCTCTGTGAGGGGCTGGGATTGCCCAGCATGGAGGGCTGTGCCAGGAGCTGTTGGCTGAGCAGCCCCAGAGAGCCAGGCTGCACGTGCCCGTGGTCCCACAGGCACTGAGGGCTCACGTGCAGGGCTGGGCTGTGGCTCAGTGAGGTTCAGTCCCTGGGCACTGCCGTGGCCCACAGGATGCCCAGGATTATTCTGTGTAAGCAAAGGGAAGGATTAGGGACAAATCAGGGTTTATTGAGGGTTAAGTTACCTTTTCTTTCATGTGATGACGTGCCAGGATCTGTCCCTCCCATCACCTCCTTGCACTCCAGGACACATTTCCACACCAGTGTCCACCATGAGGAGGCCTATAGTTGACACCTATCATTATATTTATCAAGAAGATTGTCAGCTTGAATTCCTAATTACCTGAAGTTTTTGCCACCACTCCCTTTCCTGATGCCCCAGGCACTGTGGGACAGGTATAAAAGAGCTGAGCTCCTTGCAGACCTCTATCCACACTCCTCCACTCGACTCTCCTCAACAACCGGGTAAGTCCAGCTCTCACAAAGATCTTGGGGATCTCTCCTCTCTTCCCTCAACACAACCCTTTCCTCACACCTTTGCTTTCTCCCTGTTCTCCAGAACTCCTTGCCTGTGGGAACCATGTCCTGCTCCAGCCTGTGTCTGCCCTCCTCCTGTGGGGTGGCCACCCCGGCCCCTCTGGCTGACACGTGCAACGAGCCCTGCGTGCGGCAGTGCCCCGACTCCACGGTGGTGATCCAGCCCCCACCTTCAGTGGTCACCTTCCCCGGGCCCATCCTCAGCTCCTTCCCCCAGCAGAGTGCTGTGGGCTCAGCAGGAGTCCCCGGTGTTGGAGCGGGCTTTGGGGGCAGTTTTAGTGGCAGTTTTGGAGGCCGTGGGGGCTATGGGGGTTATGGCTATGGGGGTTACGGCTATGGAGGCCTTGGAGGCTATGGGGGTTACGGCTATGGGGGTTATGGCTATGGAGGCCTTGGGGGCTGGGGAGGCTGTGGTGGCTATGGGGGCTGGGGAGGCCTTGGGGGCTGGGGAGGCTATGGGGGCTATGGGAGCTGTGGATACGGGGGCTGGCGCCGTAACCACCGGTACCTCAATGGCAACTGCGGGCCCTGCTAAGCCCCTCACCGAGTGCAGTCACAGACCCAGGAGAGCTCCAGAAGAGCCGCTGGCACCTCCCGACACGACCCTCTTTGGAAAACCAGCCCTTCAGCATCACTGGCTCTGAAATTTGGACACCTCGTGCCTGCCTGGGAACCACCTTTGCCTTCCTCCTGCCCCGCCTGAGCTTCCCCATGAGACTCTCTGTCCCTGCTGACAGGACTTGCTCTGTGATTCCTGCTCCTGCTCCTGGGCTGGGGCTCGTTGGAGCTCTGCCCTCTGCCTGGAGATGGGCCTGCCCTTGGCCAGGGCCCTGCTCTTGTCCCAGCTCCCTCCTCCCCTCCAGCTGCAATAAAAGCTTTCTTGCATTGCAATGTTGAGCCCTGGTTTTAATTCATCCTTCCTTGTTTCCCACTTCCCCTGAATCCTGGGGAGGGTCTGTCTGTCTGCTGGAATCTCCCATGGCAGTGCCCTTGGAGCCTCTGGGCATTTGGTCCATGTGTTAGAGATGATGCCAGCAGGGAGACACAAGACCTTCCCAAAGCCCATGTTGACCATGGGAAAGTGCCATGAGTGTCTTGCAAAAACTCTTCCAAGTCCTCTGTCAAACCAGCCTGCCTGGCACCACCTCCTTTGATCAGCCTAGTATTGGTCCCATCTGGAGGTCCAGGGAAATGGAGGGATGACCAAGTGCATGTCCAGGGTCTCTGGCCATGTCCATGTTCCCAGCTGGAGATGGTGGTCACTGGGAATGGGTGGTGAGACAGATCCAGCCAAATCTGGCCAAGTTTCCTCTCAGGGCCATGAAATATCCCCAGGTGTTCAGTGTCATGAAGGACAAAGTTGTTGGAGCAGGAGGTTGGAGAGCCCAACACCCTTGGGTCAAACTGCCCACCCTCCTGAGGTCACTGCCTTCCATATGTGCCACATAAGCCCCCTGGTCCATATAGGTCCCTTGGGCCTCATAGACCACATAGGCCACAACTGTCCCATAGGCTTCAAAGACCCCACACACCCCATGGACCCTCTGAGCCCCCTAGTCCTGCCAGGCCCCACAGGCCCCACAGACCCCATGGACCCCTTACTCCAGCTTGGCCACGTAGACTCCATGGGATTCAAAGGCCACCCATGCCCAGCAGAGTGTGGTCCAGAGCACGGGGCTGTGGGAAGCCCTCCTGCCATTCCTGGGCAGAGCTGTGTCCATGGGGGATGTGTGGGTGACACAGGGAATCCCAGGAAGGGCTTCTGGAGACAAGAAGGGGCCAGGAGGGCTCCAAGGAGCAGTGGAACCCATAGTAAAAAAAGGACACGGAGGTGGTGTGGGGGTGCAAGACTGTAGGAGAGGATGGAGGCAAAGGAGCTGGGGAGGTGCTGGGGGTTGTTCACCCTCTCCCCTCTCGACCCACGGCCTCCCAAGTGACTCTGAGCTGGGCCATGTGTGTTGGAGTGATTCCATTTGTGTTCCAGTCCCCAGAGTTCTGGGGCTTCAGGCAGCCCACTGGGAATGTCCAGAGAGGGCAGGGAAGTGCCTGTGAGGCCCAGGAGCCCTGGCTGGGCTGCAGAGAGCAGGAACCCAAAGTGGGGAGGAGACAGGAAGGGCAACCAGGGAGAAGCTGCTGTGGAGGGAGATGATGATGGTGTTCGCTGTGGGGGCTGTCCTGCAGAGGGGTGGGATGGTCAGAGCCAGGCAGGAGGAAGCCTGGCAGCTCCCACAGGTTCTCCTAAGGATTCACCGAGCAGGAGCTGCTGGAAAGCCCCGGTGCCACTCAGGGATTGGGTGTGGAGGACAGAGCAAATGAAACCAGGGCTCAACATTGCAATGCAAAGACAACTTTTATTGCAGTTGGAGGGGAGGAAGGAGTTACCAGAAGAGCAGGGCCCTGGCCAAGGGCTTCCTGGCTCCTGGCAGTGGGCAGAGCTCAGCCGAGCCCCGCTGGGAGCAGGAGCAGGAGCCCAGCCCGGGGCTGTGCAGGGAGGAGGCAGCAGGTCCGGAGGGGAGGCTCAAGCACAGCAGGAAAGGGGCAGAGTTGGGCCCCCAGCAGGCACGAGGTGCCCAAGTTGTGGAGCCCAGCGATGCCCGAGGGGTGTCCTTCCTTCAGGTGCCGTGTCGGGATGTGCTGAGGGGTTTCCTGGAGCTCTCCTGGGTCTGTGGCCGCGCTCGGTGAGGGGCTTAGCAGGGCCCGCAGTTGCCACTGAGGTACCTGTGGCCACTGCGCCAGCCCCCGAAATCGCAGGTGCCGACACCTCTGGAGCCCCCACAGCCCCCAGAGCCCCCAAGGCCTCCATAGCCATAACCCCCATAGCCATAACCCCCATAGCCATAACCCCCAGAGCCATAACCCCCATAGCCCCCACGGCCTCCAAAACTGCCCCCAAAGCCCCCTCCAACAGCAGGGACTCCTGCTGAGCCCACAGCACTCTGCTGGGGGAAGGAGCTGAGGATGGGCCCGGGGAAGGTGACCACTGAGGCCGGGGGCTGGATCACCACCGTGGAGTCGGGGCACTGCCGCACGCAGGGCTCGTTGCACGTGTCAGCCAGAGGGGCCGGGGTGGCCACCCCACAGGAGGAGGGCAGCACACAGGCTGGAGCAGGACATGGTTCCCACAGGCAAGGAGTTCTGGAGAACAGGGAGAAAGCAAAGGTGTGAGGAAGAAGTTGCATAGAAGGAGGAAGGAGAAGTTCCCAAGAGGTTTGTGAGAGCTGGGCTTACCCGGTTGTTGAGGAGAGTCGAGTGGAGGAGTGTGGATAGAGGTCTGCAAGGAGCTCAGCTCTTTTATACCTGTCCCACCGTGCCCGAGGCGACAGGAAAGGGGGTAGGGGCCAAAACTCCAGGTAATTGGGAATTGAAAAGCTTCATGACACAGATGATGTGACGAATATATGTCATCCCCTCTTTGTGGACACTTGTGTTCAAACATGCCCTGGACATGAAGCAGCTGATGGCAGGGACAGATCATGGCACATCATCACATGAAAGAAAAGGTGCTGCTGTAACTCATAGCCCCAATAAACCCTGATTTATCCCCAGTCCCTCACTCTGCTGACACAGAACAATCCTAGGCATCCTGTGGGCCATGGCAGTGCCCAGGGACACCACACTGAGCCCCAGCCCAGCCCTGCACGTGAGCCCTCAGTGCCTGTGGGACCACGGGCACGTGCAGCCTGGTTCTCTGGGGCTGCTCAGCCAACCTGGCAGAAATTTTCCTGGCAGAAAATTTCTTTTTCTTAGAATCTCCCTCACTGGAGGTATCACAGTGTGGTGAGTGTGCACTCATTGTGTATGGAGAAATTGTCAGCCTATTGTCAAAAAGATGATCCTTGAAACCTCCCTTCATCTGCTCTATTACAAGTTTGGAATAGCCACAGCACATCAGTGAAAAAGTGGTCTCGACCTCTTCTTATTTTCCTAACCATTTTCCTATCATCCATAAGCCTTTCAGCAGCATGTTCCAAGTTCTTCTGATACTTCATGGAACGAAAATATTACTCAGGAAATACAGCATTGCTTCCCCATTTCCAAGGGTCCTAAAAGATGGCGGGAAATTGCAACTTTCCGTGTGAATAGTCAGGAAAAAAAAAAAAAAAACCAACTCAGGAAAGACCTCTGCACGACACGAGCCCTTCAATTGTCTTGTTCATTGACTTGCAATGGGTTCCTGCCATGATGGAGAAACTGAAATTGGATGCAACCCCCTGCCATGTGCTCTGGGATGACCCTCCCTGAGCAAGGAGGTGGCACCAGATGACCCACCGTGGTCCCTTCTTCCAGTGAGTCTGTGGTCCTGCAACCCCCTCCCCTTCCCCACCCCTGCCAGGACAGGGCCAAGCTGGCAATTTGGGATCTGCCCTGGGTGAGTGGGGTGGCTTCTTCCTCCCCTGCTTACCAGCTTGTAAAAGTGAAGTAATGACAGATGTCTTGGCTGTGCCAAGGATTTCAAAGAGCTTTTCTTGTGTGATGCCCAAAACTCTCGAGCGTAAGCAAAGCGGGGGATTAGGGACAGATCGGGCTTTATTGGGGCTGTGAGCTCAGCCACGGCAACAAATGATCTTTCATGTAGTGATTTGTCATGATCTGTCCCTCTCATTAGCTGTTTGCTCTCCAGGGTACGTTTACTGGTTAGTAAACCCAATTAGGATGGATATAATTGCCCTATATTGCAATTGTGTCATGAGGTTCGTCCGCTTTATGATTTTATGATTAGCTGGGGCTTCTGCCAACACCCTCTGGCCAGTGCCTCAGGCACTGCTGGACATGTATAAAAGAGCTGAGGGCTTCCCAGACCTCTATCCAGCTTCTCCACTTGACTCTCCTCATCAACCCTCGTGGTAAGTCCATGTCTTACCTCCATCCTTCCTTCCTCGTCCGTGGCTTTCTCAAGGGATCTTTGGCTCTGTGTTCCACCTTTTCACAGTGCTGGGATTATCCCAGTGGACTCGAGGCCTTTGGGAGCTTGGGGGTTTTCCATCTGCTTTGGAAATGAGGGAGTTTTTCCCCCACTCCTGTGGGCAGTGAGAATGAGGGACCATGAGGGGAACAAGGGACCTAAACAGGTGTTTCTCCCCTGGGGAACGGGGTTTTGAATGCCTGAGATGATCCAGAGCACGTCCTGGGACACAGGTTCCAGGTGGGATGTGGGTCAGACCTTGCACAGAGATCACAGAGTCACAGAATAGGCTGAGTTGGAAGGGACCCACAAGGATCACTGAGTCCAATTCTCAGCCCTGCATAGGACCATCCCACAAGATCCCACTCTGTGCCCCAGAGGATCATCCAAACCCTCCTGGAGCTCTGGCAGCCTTGGGGCTTTTCCCACTGCCCTGGGGAGCCTGTTCAGTGCCAACCACCCTCTGGGGGAAGAACCTTGTCCTGAGATCCAACCTGAGCCTGCCCTGACACAGCTCCAGCCATTCCCTGGGTGCTGTCCCTGCTCACCCAGAATAGAGTTCAGTCCTGCCCCTCCTCTGCCCTTCCCCAGGAAGCTGGAATTGCAGCGAGGTCTCCCCTCAGCCTCCTCTTCTCCACCTGAACACACCCAGTCCCCTCAGTGCCCTCACCCGGCTTCAAACCAAAACCCTTCCCCGTATTTGTCGCCTCCTTTGGACGCTCTCCGATGGCTTCACATCCTCTGCCTCTGTTTTTTTTTGCAGCTTTACCTCCTGAACCGAACCATGTCCTGCTCCAGCCTGTGTGCCCCCTCCTCCTGTGGGGTGGCCACCCCGGCCCCTCTGGCTGACACGTGCAACGAGCCCTGCGTGCGGCAGTGCCCCGACTCCACGGTGGTGATCCAGCCCCCACCCTCAGTGGTCACCTTCCCCGGGCCCATCCTCAGCTCCTTCCCCCAGCAGAGTGCTGTGGGCTCAGCAGGAGTCCCTGCTGTTGGAGGGGGCTTTGGGGGCAGTTTTGGAGGCCGTGGGGGCTATGGGGGTTATGGCTATGGAGGCCTGGGTGGCTATGGGGGTTATGGCTATGGGGGTTATGGCTATGGGGGTTTTGGAGGCTGTGGGGGCTATGGGGGCTGGGGCCGTGGCTGGGGCCGTGGCAGCTGTGGCCCCTGCTAAAGCCCAAATGTGCAGGGAGTTCAGTGCTGCCCCTGCCCTGGGGCTCCACAACCAGCCCCTCTCGGCCTCTCCCACCTGAGCCAGGATGAAGCTTCCAGACCCTCTTCAGGCTGCAGGAGCAGCTGCCTGTGATTTGCACAGGGTGACCCTGCAGAGCCCTCAGCTGGTGGCTTTGGGGTTTCCAGCACTGGCCCCCAAAAGCTCCCCTCTCCCTGCCCTACAACAAAGCTGTTCTGACCCTCGGATGAGCCTCTGCCCTGCTCTGCCCAGCTCGGAGACTCCCAACCTGCAAGAGGAAGGGGGAATCTTTGGGGTGGAGCCCTGGCTTGGGCCTTGCTGCTGCCTTAGGATTTTTGTGTTTCCAATTCCTTGTGCCTGTGCTGGTTTGTGTCTTGCTGCCACTCTCTGTTGCATTTTCCATCCACAATAAAGAATCTTCATTGCATGAATAATGTTTTTTTGTTATTAATTTTCTCTTCATCCAGGCTGGAATTATGTCTCTAACTGAGCAATGAGGTGAAATGTTAGATCATAGAATCACAGGATGGTTTGGGTTGGAAGGGACCTTAAAGATCATCTTGTTCCAACCTCCCTGCTATGGGCAGGGACACCTTCCACTAGATGGGGCAGCTACAGCTTCTCTGGGCAACCTGTATCAGGGCCTCACAGGGAACAATTTCTTCCCAAAGTCCCATCTAGGCCTCCTTTCTGTCAGTCTGAACCCATTCCCCCTGTCCCACTCCAGGTCCTTGCCCAAAGTCTCTCCCCATGTTTCTTGTAGCCCCTTCAGGTCCTGAAAGGCCACAACTGGCTCACCTTGGAGCCTTCTTATCTGCAGGATGAACAATCCCAACTCTCCAGCCTTTCCTCTGTGCTCCATCCCTCTGCTCAGCTCCTCTGGAGTGGCTCCAACAGTTCCATGTCCTCCCTGGGCTGTTCCCCAGGGCTGGAGGGGGGCCTGAGGGGGGGTCTGGAGGGGGCAGAGGGGCAGAATCCCCCCCTGCCCTGCTGCTGACGCATGTGGGATCAGCCCAGGGCACAGGGGTTTTGGGCTGGGTCCTGTCCAGCCTCTCCCCTTCTCCACCTGCTCATCCTGGATTGATCCTGGGGGTTGTCCCAATCCAGGTGCAACACCAGCTCCTGGGCTTGTTAAACCTCATTAGCTGGGAATTCATTTTTTCAACCATTTGTGGCACCTCTGAGTTTCCCTCAGAAAAGGCTTTTTAAGCTGCAGCTGCACAAAAAAATGTTCCTGGGATTTTGTGACATTTTTGCACTTCAAGACGAAACATGGAATCCCTGGATTTATTCCACTTGGGATAAACAATACTATAAGTTCAATTAATAAATAAAAGGGGGAAATTATTATAATAGAATCATATCCTGAGTTGGAAGGGACCCACAAGGACCACCAGAGTCCAACTCCTGACCCTCCACAGGACACCCCAACAATCCCACCACCTTCCTGAGAGCTTTGTCCAAACATTCCTTGAGCTCTGGCATATTTGGGGCCGTGCCCACTGCCCTGGGGAGCCCATTCCAGTGCCCAACCACCCCGTGGGGGAAGAACCTTTCCCTAACACCCACCTAAAACCTCCCCTTCTGTTACGGGGCAAAGAAAAAAAAAAAATCAGCAGATTTATTTCGGTACAGGACGTTTATTTGGAAAGAGGCAGCTTTCCTACAAATCTGGAGCAGAACCATAGAAGAACACAATCATCTTTGCAGGGAGGCTCTGCTCAACCACCAGCATCCCAGTGGTGCAGTCTGTGAAAAAGAAAACGGGTTGTTTTTTTTTTTTTTTTTTTCCCATGTCAGAGCTGCTCTGGGCACTTCCCAGCGCCCGCAGTCGCCTCTCTTAATTTAAAAAGTTCAGCGCCAACAAAGCGACCGGGAATAAAAAGGCAAAGCGCAACGGAAGCAAACGGCTACGCTGCTGCAAAACCGGAGGAGAAGCAGCTCTAAGCTAAAGGCAGAACGAGACAGCGCAACACGGGAGCCTCTCCCGGGGAGGGGACCGAGCGCTCGCAGCATCCCGGTGGGAGCCTCTCGACTCCAGCCCGAAATTTCCCTCCGGCGTTTTTTTCCTCCGCCCCACCTCCTTTCCCTTTTTTTTTTCAGTGAGTCCAGCGTTTCCCCGAGCGGTAGGAATTGCAGGGATGCGTCCACTGGGAGGAGTAGGTGTAGGAATACTTGGGGGCGCAGCGGGGCTCGGGCCGGGCGAGCGCCTGGGCAGGGAGTTTGTCGGCGGCCGCCTCCAACCTGCCCGCCACCTCCGAGGGCAGAGGGGCCGCGCTGGGAGGCTCCGCCAGGGCCACCTCCGAAGCCTCCGAGGATCCCACGACGGTTTGCTGGGGGTAGGTGGTGAGGATGGGCCCCGGGAAGGTGACCACGACGGGCGGCGGGTAGATGATGACCCGCGAGTCGCCGCAGGTCACCACGCAGGGCTCGTTGCTGCTGGTGGCCAAGGGCTGGGGACACTTGGCCTCGCAGGGGTTGTTGGCACAGGCCAGCTGGGTGGACGTCATCTCCTGGAGGTGGGGAGGTGCCTAAAACGGCACAGAATCACAGGGTATTCGAGCTGGAAGGATCGCGGAGTCCCAACTCCTGGCCCTGCACGGATACCCCGACAACCCCAACCCGACAACCCCACCCCGACCCCGAGGGCGTTCCTTGAGCTCTGGGAGGTTTGGGGATGTGACCGTCCCTGTTACACCCTCTCTGGATGAAAAACCATCTAATATCCAACCTGAACCTCGCCTTTCATTGTGTGCCTGGGCGCAAAACCATCTAATATCCAGCCTGAACCTCGCCTTTCATTGTGTGCCTGGGCGAAAAACCATCTAATATCCAGCCTGAACCTCGCCTTTCATTGTGTGCCTGGGCTTTCACAGAATCACGGGATGCTCCGAGTGGGAAGGGACCCACCAGGAGTCCAAGGCTGAGAGTTTTTCAAGCAGGTGACAGCCCCAAAAATGTCCTGGTTTTAAAAGTGCGCTTTTCTAACTCCACTGAGAACTTTTCACCTCGGAAAAAAAGGAGCTTTTTCACCTTAAAAAAAATTGGCTTTCCCACAATATTGAGTGCTCTTCAATGCAGCCTGGAGATCCCTGCTACTCACAAGTTAACAGTTCTGCCAGAAAGTCACCACTCACTTTGGAATAAAACAGAAGATAAAGGTGCACGTTTTTGGCACTGGGGAAGCCAAGAATTAGGAGCTCTTTTAGAGGTGGGAATGGGATTCACAGGACTTAACTAAGGATGGGCTTAGGAGCAGAAAAAGATGCTTTTCCCCCCCCCTGCTTTCGATTCATTTTCAGAATTAAAAAAACCCCAAAACACTCCTCCCCATTTTTTGGGTGTCACCCCCAAGCCCCAAATCTGCTCTGAAACCTCCCATTCCTTTGGAATGTGTCCTGAAGACTTGCCAGAACTTGTTCCCACACAATCCCTTTTCCTCCCACACAATTTCCCGGGGCAGTTCCTGCCTCCTGCATTTCCCAGATGGGGCACAAGGGGGAAAAATTTCTGGATTTTCCACGTGTTTCATGGGAATAATCTGTTAATTAAGCACCTTGCCTAATTTTCTGTATTATTTTCCATTCGCACTCCTGTTCTTTTCAGGCATAAAACATTCCACTAAAACACAGGATAAAAAAGAAAGGCTGGGAATGAGTGGGAGGATTAAATACTCATTTCATAAATAAAACATATAAATTAAAATATTAAATTGTGGTGATATGGTCACCCCAACTAAGAAAACTGCACATTCAGCAGGGAGACGCCTATTTAAGAATGCTCATTTCTTCAGGTTAAAGCCTTGGTGTAAAAGCAGAATATTTTTTAAGCTTGTAAATTAAAGGCATAACTCTCAAAATTTAAAAAAACAAACAACAACACCCAAGCAGAGCATTTTCCTCCAAATCCCCTCAGGTTAAAATGGAGCTTTGACCTACAAAGATGCAAGAATTTAATCTCTGCAAAAGCACATTCAAATGCTGGCAAAGTTTTAACAGTTAGAAATGAAAGTTACCTTAATGGTCTCTAATCACCACCTGTTGGGACTCCAATTAAATGAGGGATGGGCAGATTAAAACACCAGCAGTGGAGCTGCACCAAGTGAACTTCCAGCAAGGATTTTACTTCCAGAGTTATCCATGAATTCCCCACTTTACAACTGCTGAATCCCCCCCATCAAGCAATACCTGCAAAACCCACCCTAAAACCTCACGTGCAAAAACCAGTCCCAAAATCTCTTCTCGGAGATCCCCTAAAAACTTTTCAGAACTAAAGAGACTGAAAGTCATCATTTAAAATGAATTTAAAATCCCAAACCATCCTTGAAAACCCCTCGCTTTTATTTTCCCACCCTTTCTCCAGCCTAGAAATCACCTGCAGGGAGGTGCTTCCTAAAACCTCTGCGAGGTTTAGTCCCGGTTTTAACGCCAAACTCAAGCAAAAACCCAATTAAACTCGAGGTTTTTAGAGCTGTTAAGTCGAACTTACTCAGGGAACCGGAGAGAACAAGTCAAGAGGAGCAGTAAAGAAAAAAACTGGCGTGGAGAGAGTATTTATACCCTCCCCTGGATGCCTGGAGGGGCTGAGACACCCTTTGTGTAAAGCACTTTAATTACTTGTGAAGCAAACCCTGCTGCATTTATTCCTCCTTGCAGTGGCAGGGATTGTTTTTACCTCCCTGCTTGTGATTATCTAAAGCCGAGTTGGGTAATAACAAAATGCAGATGAGCCCTTTTCATCTCGAAATTTCCTGCTTTCCCCTCCACCGGTTTCATTAAGGGTTGGTTATAAATACACCGAGAATTAATTAAGAGTTTTGGGTGGCTTATCTTGGGGAGGCTTTGGATGTGTCAGCGGTGCCAGGAGCCAAGGCTGATTTCCCCCCCCCTCTTAGGAAGTACAAGTTGAGTATTTGTGCCCGTTCCTTGATTAGACTCTAGAAAATCAGGGGTTGTTTCCCATCTGAGGTGGTGTTGGCGAGCTTTCCAGATGTGCTGTTGAATCAGAGGAAGGATCCGGTGCGAATTCCAAGGGCAAAGCCCTCCCAGCGTTATCTTTTTTAAGTAGAAGCGAAGCTGCCGCCGATTAATGCACCTCCAAACGAGGAGCTGATGAAACACCGGCCACGATTCGCCCTGTGTGAGGTCAGAGCAGCCCAAATGTGTCATTACCAACTGGCAGCAAATCATTTTCCCTGCGCGATGTTGGAGGACTTCTTTGAAATCTCATTTCTTGATGTCTCCGGAATGTTCCTTGATAAGCTCCACAGCCCTGGGAGGGAGAGGGGGGGGGTAAGGAGGTGCCTCATAAAATCAGGATATAATTAATGCCATTTCACAAGCACCACGAGGGTGGTTTTGGCTCGTTTTGATGTGCTTGCCACTTCCATCCGGAGGGAAGAGGGTTGGGTCCATCAGTGCTGGTGGGATGATGTCCAGCCTGTGCCATCAGGTTTCTGTGATTTAACCCCAACAAAGTAGGGTTGTCTGTGGCAGAGGAGCTCAAAATTCTGCTGAAAATAGTCCAGAATATTTAAATATCTATTTTCTTCCCCTCACAAATTTGTCCGTATCTCTTGGTTCCAAAAGATATCCATAGATATCCATAGATATCCATAAATATCCTTATACATGCATATATTTCCATAGATATGCAAGGTAAATATCTGTAAATCATGGTTCTAATTCTCTGGCAATTTCCTGCTGCAAGGATGATCCTCCCAAAATTCCACTTTCAAACCATGGGTATTAAAGAACACGGAGCAAGTACAAAATTCACCCCACAATGGGGTTCTAATGAGGTGTTCTGTGGGATTTGGGAGAGCCCTGACACAACTGGGCACCAAATCCTGGCTGTTGGATAAAAACACAGTCCCCTGAAGTAGAAAATTATTAAATCTCCTCAAAATTCTGCCATAATGTATCAATATTAGAGCAGAACCTTCTCTTTTCTACCCAGTTTTTGTGTTGGGCTCTAGTGACTGGTATTGGCTCCTCAAGAATTGTGGTGGCAGGACAAGGGGAGAGGCTTCCAACTGAAAGAGAGGAGGTTTGGGTGGGATGCTGGGAAGAAATATCCCATATTGGGAAGGTAATTCCACAGCTGTCCCATCCCTGGAAGCATCCAGGGCCAGCTTAGAGCGACCTGGGCTAGTGGAAGGTGTCCCTGCCCGTGACAGGGGGGTGGGATGAGATGATTTTTAAGCTCCCTTCCAACCCAAACCATTCCATGACTAACAAAGGGAATAAAGAGCCAGCTCAGACTGCAAACACCACAATAACAGAATGTTAATGCTCGGCAGGGGCCCATTAATTTGAAATTGCTGGAGAAAATGACACCCTTGTGCAAGGCAGGGGCAGAATTAAGGCTGACTCCTGCCGAGCTTAAGGTGGTTTGTGCTGTCAGACCAGTCCTGTCGGGCTTCAGAGCCGAGCAGGAGTTTTGTTTGTGCAGCTGAGTCAGGAGCATCTGCTAATGAGGAATAATCAAAGGCAAACTTGCTTTGGGGTGGCTGCCTTGCTGATGCAGCCCCATCATCCCCCCCCTTCGCTTCAAAGAGGCTCAGCTTGCTGACATCACCCCCGACAAACATTATATCAGCAAGAATTCTGCCCTCGGGGCAGAAGGGGCTGGAATTCAGCAGAGTTAGTTGCGCCTCACAGGTTCCTGAGCTGTCACAACCTCTGATTTTGCACAAGCCGTGATGGGGAAAGCTGAACAAGCCCAAATTCGGGGCAGTGAACCCCCCTTCCCCAGCCTAATTAGGGCGACGCCAGAGATGACCTTGGTTTATCTCCTTTAAGGTGACACAAGACTGGGTGGCACCCCTGGGTGTTATGACAACGCAACTATTTGCACAGGCAGCTGTGTTAAGGTGTTTTTGTGAAACCTTTGGAGGCCTCAGAACATCCCCGGGGTGTTCAACTCTGCAGGGTGTTCCCAGAAAAAAACCTCCTAAACCCTCAGTTCTGGCAGAAAGAGGCTGGTTTTGACAAATAAAAATGATCATTAAAATGGTCTTCCCCAAGAATATTTGGCAGGTCAAGAGTCCTTTTGGAAGGTCTTCTGGGTGGTGAAAGGGGAAATTTTCCTTTCTGATGTTCTTGTGATGACCTTCTTGCTCCCACTCCCCTAGGGGTGTGGTGGGACTGGGGTTCACTGGGTGTGTTTTTTTCTTTCCAGGGCTTCACAGACCAAAACAAAAATCCCCTAAATTTAGGAGGAGAGCCCAGGACTTGCACTTTTTGTTCACCTCGAGCTGGGATTAAGCTAGATCTCTGAACACTGAAAAAAATGACCAAGAAGTGTTGGCAGGAGAAACTCAGAGGAAATAAATGTTGAGGGAGCACAGAAGGAAAGGGAATGAAGGGAGTGAGGCAGAAGAATCATCACCCTGTGCTGACCAGAGCTAAACTAAAACCGACTGTAAAGCAAGAAAATCGAAATGCTGGGTTGGTCAGAGCAGGAAAGCTAATTAATTAATTTATTTTTATTTTAAAAAAATTTATTACTTTAAAATTTATTTTTAAAATTGTTATTTAATTATTTATTTTTATATTAAAAAAATTATTTCAATGATGTCAAATCCCTTTTGAATTCCTGATCCCCTGCGTGCTTTAATTAATCCTGTTCCTCGTTTAGAGGTGGAGCTCCTGAGAGTTGATCCTGCAACCTTCAGTCTCCCTCTGGTTGCCCCATGTGGCATTGCACAACCTGCCTCATCTTCCCTCTAAATGGGGAGTTTTGGTTTTTTTCCACCCACCCCAAGTCTTATTTAAATTATTAATATTAATATTAATATTACATAGATATAATGAATATAAAATCCCATTAATTTCACGGCACAAAGGGACCAAAATGTTTTCCTTCTCTCGCTTTTGAAGCCCCTGAGTGGAGGGAAGGTGGGTGGAAGAGGAATAATTGGGGAGGAATAATTCACTGGGAAATGCGGGGAAAGGAAAAGGGGAAATGGGTTCAGACTGACAGAATGAAAGTACAGCTTGGATCTATAGGGAAGAAATTGTTCCCTGGGAAGCTGGGGAGGTTTTCCAGGGAATCTGTGGCTACCCCATTCCCTGGAAGTGCCCAAATCCAGGTTGGAGCGAGTGGGAGGTGCAGATGATGATGTGGTGGTGCCTCCACAACATCCCTTGGAAGTCTTGGCGCTTCAGCAGGATGTGCTCGAGAAGGGAATTTTTAAAACCCCCGCTCCATCCCCAGGGCAATCCCACACAATCATCTGAAATCTTCAGGGCGATTTACGGGCCCGGGGGAAACCCGAAGTTATTTTAATCAGGAACAAAACCGCAGGAATGTAAACAAACGATGCGGGAGAAGGAAGGAGGTATTTTTAGCAACCCGTGGGCGGAGCAGGGAAATCTGATGTGAGTCATCCCGGGTCCTCCCCGGCACTTGGGGTGGCTACAGGGTGAGAAATGCTGTCCAGCACAAGCCTCTGCTGCCACATGTTTGCCCTGGGGGGGGCCCCTCGAATTTAATGGGAATTTAAATGCTAGAAACTAATAATGACTGGATTAACAAAGCGTCGTTAATGAGGTTTTTCTGCCTAATTTAAAGTGGTGGTGTTACCTGATCATATGGAATCTGATGAAATATGAGTTGGTTCATCCCATGGTTAGTGCAGGCAAAGCAAAGACGGGGTTAGGGATGAGGATTTGGATCATCCCATTCCTTTGATCCAATGTTTAGTGCGGAAAAGCAAAAGCAGGTTAGAGATGAGGAGTTTGGATTTGCTCCTTCCAAATGAACTGTGGGTGTCAGTGCTGGGAAGTTCCTTGAGAGGGCAGACCAGAAACTTGCTGTGAAGAAAGTAAAAGAAGTTGGAAAACGAGGAAATGAGCAAAAAAAAAAAAAGCAGAATGTGATTGGTAAGAATTGTCTGTCCTGGTCCTGCTCATGGGAGAAGCTCCTCTGAAACTGGAAAGGGAAAGAAAAGGGTGTTTGAGAGAACTGGGAACGAAGAATCTGCTGCCTGGGGAAGTTTTTGAAGTGATAAAAATCCCTTTGCACATTCCAGGCTTTTTATCAGGTGCATCTGACCCGGATGGATCTGATGCAGGTGAATCGTTGCTTTGACAGGGAAAGATCTGATTCCAGGACTTATTCAAATTGAGTCACATGATGTGAGCTTTGTAGTGGGATGGAAATCAATTTAAAACATTCAGAAATATGCTGAAACTCTTTCCTTGAGGACACTGGGAGCTCTCCCAGGGAATAAGAACGTCCAAGGCCAGGTTGGAGCAACCTGGGCTAGTGGGAGGTGTCCCTGCCCACGGCAAGGGGTGGAACCAGAAGATCTTTAAAATCCTTTCCAAGCCAAGCCATTCCAGGATTCCATGGTGGTGGCAGCTGCTACATTTGACTTGCTCACCTGCACTTAAACAGAGCACTCCAAGAGACACGTTCAGGGGGCTGTTAAAGGCCACTGATACTCAAAACCCACGAATATTTCCTATTCATGCACTGATGCAAACTCAGCCTGATGCACCCTGGATGGCCCAGGGCAAGAGATGCTTGGCTTGGGATTGTCCCACGCTCTTCAGAAAGCACTGGGGGATGTGAGAGAGGTGACTCATTTCAAATTTCAAATTTCAAAAAGCTTCTGATGGCAAGAAAAGGAAAAAAACAAAAGGCACAAAAAATGATCTCGGGTGAAAAAGCAACACCCGCGATCCTTCGTGTTCCTTCTGAAGAGCAAGGAGTTGCTCAACACCTGGATGTCCAAATCCAGAGGTTTTTTGCAAGGCTCAGCTTGTGTACATCCGTAATAAATGGTTATGAAGCCTTGCCAGAGCTCTTGGCTGTTGGTACTGAAAGGATCGTGCGGGAGCCACCTGAAGCTGGGATTGATTTACGGAAAAAAGGAGCTGCGGATTTGATTTGTGCATTCCGAGACCTGAAGAGAAGAAAAAAATCCTGGTGGGGTGGGGAAGGATGCTGGAAACGCTGTTCCCTGGAAATTACAGCAGGGAAACGTGAGCACATTAATTCTCAGCCTAATCACTCGTTAAGTTTTAGCTGTTGCTGTGTGTTGGTCGATGTGGAAATGTATTTCCTTTGCATTATTCATCTGCACGTCCCCCCCCATGGCAAATTCCACATTGTGGATTCCACACTGCAGGTTCCACACTGTGGATTCCACACTGCAGGTTCCACACTGTGGATTCCACACTGCAGGTTCCACACTGCAGGTTCCACACTGTGGATTCAACACTGCAGGTTCCACATTGCAGCTTCCACACTGTGGATTCCACACTGTGGATTCCACATTGCATATTCCACATTGCAGGTTCCACATTGCAAATTCCACATTGCAGGTTCCTCTTGCACAAGTTGTCCCAGCCTGGTGACCCAGGGAGGGTGACAATGCCCAGGTCCTGCCTGGGCACGTCTGGTTGATGATTTTATTTTTTTTTGTCCTATTTTTTGGGGAATAGCCTCAGGAGTCAGCTGGGGAATTAATTCCACTGCTTTAATTAATTAATTTAATTGCTTCTGTGGGCTGGGCAGTGATGAGGCACCTCAAGTGATGAGTCCTTCACTGCCAGAGACACATGGAGGGGCTGGGGTGTGTCCAGAGCAGGGAACTGAGCTGGGGAAGAGGCTGGAGAAACTCCTAAGGGAGCTGGGGGGGCTCAGCCTGGAGAAAAGGGGGCTCAGGGGGGACCTTCTGGCTCTGGAATTCCCTGACAGGTGGGGGGAGCCAGGTGAGGGTCAGGATCTTCTCCCAGGTAATGACACAGGACAAGAGGGAACAACCTCAAGCTGTGCCAGGGGAGGGTCAGGTTGGCCATGAGGAGGAATTTGTTTCTGGAAAGGGTGGTGAGGCCTTGGCAGGGTTTGCCCAGGGAGTTTTGGAGTCCCCACCCCTGGAGGTGCCCAAGGAAGGCCTGGCCGTGGCACTGAGTGCTCTGGGCTAGGGGGGACAAGATGTTGATGGATCAAAGGTTGGACTTGCTGACCTTGGAGGTCTTTTCCCAGCCTCAGGGATTCTGGGATTTTGTTTGGGCTTTTGCTCCTGGCAGCCTGGGAAGGAGCATGGAGGAGGTTTTGTGGTGCTGCATCCAGACCCCTTGGGAGGTTCAGGGCCCAGATCTCCATCCTTCTTCCACCTCACAGTGCAGGTCAGGTGGTGAGCTCTTCAAAAAGGCCAAAATCTCACCAGTGTCACGTGGGGATTTGGTTAAACACTGATGTGGGTGTTGAGCCTGAGGCAAAAAGGTCACCAGGACACTCAGTGGGACACAACAAGGGCTCGAAAAAGTGTAGAGGGAAAGTGGTTGACCAGGAACTGGAGTGGCAGGACAAGGGGAGATGGGTTCAGACTGACAGGGGTGGAAATTTAGGTTGGATGTTGGGAAGAAATTGTTCCCTGTGAGGGTGGGGAGGGCCTGGCACAGCTTGCACAGAGAAGCTGTGGCTGCCCCATCCCTGGGAGTGTCCAAGGGCCAGGTTGGAGCAACCTGGGCTGGTAGAAGATGTCCCTGCCCAGGGGTTGGAACGAGATGAGCTTTGGGGTCCCTTCCAACCAACCCGTTCTGGGATTCTGAAAAAGGAAAACCCAAAAGTGCTGCTGCAAGACAGAATTTAATGGGAATGAAAAGCTGAATACACAGGAGCAAAACTATCTGGATATAATCAAAGACTTTCAGGAGGGTCTGCAGTGAATCCCCAGTTCCATGATTTTGCATAGGTTGCTCTTCTTTGATCAGAAGGATTTGGAAAAAAAAAAAAAAAAAAAGAATCTGCAATTACAATTACTCGATATTTTTGATTTTGCCCTGGCTTGTATCAAATAAGACATAGGCAGAAAAAGAAGCTGGGAAAGCGTTACATTGTGGGCCTAAGCAGAAATAAAGCAAAAGAAAGACTTACAAATACCTAATTTTAAGAAATGCCAAGTAGAGCTGGTTTTGGTTGGTTGGTTGGTTGGTTTTTTAATGCTGGTTCAGCAAAATTTACAAATGAATCTGAATTTCGATAAAATTTCATTTTGGAACCCAGGATTTTCAGTCCTATTCTTTTGATGTATTTTATATTTTTTACTTGGAGATAAATCGATAATAGAACATCAGCGTTGGCATAAAAATGAATTTATTGACACACAGTTTTTACCAAACCAAGAAAAAAATAAAATAAAATTAAAGATTTTTGAAAAATCTGCTTTCTTGGAAAATTCTGGGGGTTTATTTCGTCCTAACTTTGACTCGGCTCAGAGGCGAAATTTCAGTTTCTTGGAGTTTGGGCATTCTAGTCCTCAGGCAGGTTTAGTGCCAGGAAACCCTGGCTTTATGGACTCCACTGGGAACCTCGGCAGCTCAGCACTTCTCTCTAATCCATTATCCATAAACTTAGTCGGGCTCTTTAGCGTTTTCAGCTCTGCTTTTCAGTCTATCCACAGATATCCATGCTGGATTTAGGCTGGCCTGCGAGCTCTACAACAAAACAGTTGGGATAAGTGAGGGGGGAAAGGGTTAAAGCGCCCTGCGTCACAAAACGCCGCTCCTGAGCTCAAAGCTGCCCCAGCACCCAACATACCCCTGAACCCAAGAGATCCCCGGGAGCCCAGGAAGCTCCTGAGGTCCAGCAGGCCGGTGGATCCCACGATGGTGCGCTGGGGGAAGGTGGTGAGGGTGGGGCCGGGGTAGATGAGGGAGTAGGGAGGGTGGTCGGGTTCCACGATGTCCACGACGGTGTCGGGGTATTTGATCACGCAGGTCTCGTTGGAGGTGACGGCGAAGGGCTCGGGGCACATCAACCCCGGCAGGCAGCACTCGTGGAAGGGAGACATGGGACAGAGCCACACCTGGAACAGGGGGGAGAGAGGATAGTGTTAGAACAGCAGGAATTTATGTATTTATATTAAATATATGGGACAGAACCACACCTGGAACAGGGGGAGAGAGGACGGTGTTAAAACAGCAGGAATTTATGTATTTATATTAAATATATGGGACAGAACCAGACCTGGAACAGGGGGAGAGAGGACGGTGTTAAAACAGCAGGAATTTATGTATTTATATTAAATATATGGGACAGAGCCACACCTGGAACAGGAGGAGAGAGGACAGTGTTAAAACAGCAGGAATTTATGTATTTATATTAAATATATGGGACAGAGCCACACCTGGAACAGGGGAGAGAGAGGACAGTGTTAGAACAGCAGGAATTGGTAGGTTAAATACCTGGGACAGACCTGGAACAGGGGGGAGAGGACACAGTGTTAGAACAGCAGGAATTTATGTATTTATAATAAATACATGGGACAGAACCAGACCTGGAACAGGGGGGAGAGGACAGTGTTAAAACAGCAGGAATTTATGTATTTATATTAAATATATGGGACAGAGCCACACCTGGAACAGGGGGGAGAGAGGATAGTGTTAGAACAGCAGGAATTTATGTATTTATATTAAATATATGGGACAGAACCAGACCTGGAACAGGGGGAGAGAGGATAGTGTTAAAAGAGCAGCAATTTATATATTTATATTAAATATATGGGACAGAAGCAGACCTGTAACAGGGGGAGAGAGGATAGTGTTAGTCCAGCAGGAATTTATGTATTTATATTAAATATATGGGACAGAGCCAGACCTGGAACAGGGGGAGAGAGGACAGTGTTAGAACAGCAGGAATTTATGTATTTATATTAAATATATGGGACAGAACCAGACCTGGAACAGGGGGAGAGAACACAGTGTTAGAACAGCAGGAATTTATATATTTATATTAAATACATGGGACAGAACCAGACCTGGAACAGGGGGAGAGAGGACAGTGTTAAAACAGCAGGAATTTATGTATTTATATTAAATATATGGGACAGAGCCACACCTGGAACAGGGGGAGAGAGGACAGTGTTAGAACAGCAGGAATTTATGTATTTATATTAAATATATGGGACAGAGCCACACCTGGAACAGGGGGGAGAGAGGATACTGTTAGTCCAGCAGGAATTTATGTATTTATATTAAATACATGGGACAGAACCACACCTGGAACAGGGGGAGAGAGGACAGTGTTAGTCCAGCAGGAATTTATGTATTTATATTAAATATATGAGACAGAGCCACACCTGGAATGGGGGGAGAGAGGACAGTGTTAGTCCAGCAGGAATTTATATATTTATATTAAATATATGAGACAGAGCCACACCTGGAATGGGGGAGAGAGGACAGTGTTAGTCCAGCAGGAATTGATATATTAAATAGCAAGGTTTGGGGAAAAGGGTTGCACAATGGGTATGGGGGGTTTGGGAAATGGGGGAACTGCAAAGGGTTAATGGGGCAGATATAAAGGGTAAATATGGGAATTATAAAAGGTAAGTGGGGGAGTTATGAAGGGTAAATATGGGAATTATAAAGGGTAGAAGTGGGAGTTGTAAAGGGCAAATGGAATTACAGAGGGCAAAGGAGGGAGTTGCAAAGGGTAAATTAAGGAATTGCAAAGGGCAAATGGGAGAATTACAGAGGGAAAATGGGGGAATTACAAAGTGGAAATAATTCAGGTGAGTGGCACTGCTCTGTCTCACTCCTGTTAATTTAAAGCCACAACTCCCGACCCAACTCCAGATTTTAAAGTCGGATTTTGATCCTCGCTTGCACCGGCAAGACCAAACCGTGTGTGTGTGTGGGGGGAGAGAAACTCCTTCCCTCCTCTCACCTGGTCACGAGTGGAACAGAGTGATCCAGGATGGAGACCCACCCATCTTTTATTGGTCTCATTACAGATCATCTGAATATTTGAAATCGCACAGCTCTTTAAAACCCAACCTGATATCCAGGCCAGATTTTTTTTCTGGGCATTGTTTAATTACAGATTATCAGGCCCTGCTTGCCCTGGATTGTGCCCACACTAATTGGGTGAGGAAAACAATGAGGGAGAGGGATAATTTTCTTTACTTTATCTTCATGAAGCTAGTGTGGAAGAAATCAAGGGCTGGCAAAGGGTGGGCTTGGACTGATTTCCTAAATAAATCCATTTACCCCAGGACTCTGTGGGAGAGACAAAATTTGTGTCTCCCTCTAAATATCCCATTTTAACAATCTCAAATCCTCAGGGCTTCACCTTCAGCCTTTTATCTTTTTCCAAGTGATTTGAGTCAAATTGCCTTCAACTTGAAGGCAGGGAAAAAGCAACACAGAATATTGTCCCAGCTTAAAAGCTGGGCCTGGAATGGCTAATTTTGGCTTGGGGGAAAAAAATTGGTGCCACAAATCAGTCTCAAAGTCGGGATCTTGGAGTGGTCCAAGGCAGACAAACAATTTTCCAAAGCTCATCCCAGTGCTTGTGGGAAGAGCTGAAGAAGGAATCTCCTTCTAGATTTGGAATTCAGCACTAAAAACGAGACCAGCTCAAATAAACTGGCTCAAACATTCATAAAAATAAAGCCACTTAACACAAAACCAGTGGTAAAGTGGCTTTTTTTTTTTTTTTTCAGTAAGAAAAATCTGTGAGGGTTTGGAAAATATTCAGGACAAGTTTTCCAACTGTGAGAAGATCCCGGAGCCTCCTTGAAGGCAGCTGAGGATGAGATTTAAATTAAGAAGGAACGTTTAAAATGATAATTTTTTTTAATGAATCTGTGTCTTTACAATATGAAAGGAGCACTTGCTGCTGTAAAATTATTGAGACTCTTTAATTCTGAGGGAGTTTTTCTGTTGTGCCCCTGCTTTAAATGAACTTCTGAACACCAACAGCTCCGAAGCACAGAATTTAAATTGACTTAAAACCCAAGGATAACAGAAAGGATATTTCTGCAAAGCCACCCCCTTGCCATTTCAGCAGCTCGACCCACGCTTTTGATATTTAGCCAGCAAGAATAATTGAGATTGAAAAGGCAATAATTGATTCAAAATTGACTTACCCGGATCACCAAGGGGAGAAGAGTTAAAGACAAGTGATTAGGAGGCTTCTACGTAGCAAATGCTTTTATACTCTTAGTCAAATGGCCCGGAGGATGTGACACCCTTTTTGCATGAAGTCTTAATTAGTTGCAAAACAAACTTTGCTGCCTGCATAACTTCTCGCAAGTAATGAAACTGTTTTGCTGGTCTGTTTGTGTGTTTGTTCCCTCTCAGAACGTGCTGAATCCCGGAATCCCGTGCCCCAGCCTGCAGGCAGGATTCACCTGGCCATTTTCCTGGGCCTGAAAGACTCGATCTGCTTCGTGAAACCACATTTCAGTTATAGCAGGGCTTGATCAAAGTGTGTGTGGGGTGGCATCTGCATTAATTTTTTTTTCCCCCCCTCTCAAATTGGGGGGCTGGGAAAGGGATTCAAGAATAACAGCAGCATCTTTTCCTGTCAGGGAACAGCCTTTATTATTTATTTTTTTCTTCTTCTTCATTTCTCCTTTTTTTTTTTTGTCCAGAGAATTTTTTTTTTTTAATTCTGAAATGCCTTTAAATGTAAAACCTATATAGTTTATATCTACAGAAACTTTTAAGCATCCCTCTCAGTGGATATTCAAGGAGAAGAACAACTCAGTAAATCCTCAGCCATTTCCATAGTGACATTTAAGGAGAAAGCTCTGCCTTATCTCACACCCACCCACCCCCCAGCCTTTATTTACAAGCAGGGGCTTTTTTTTTAAGGATTGAAGTGGAGCATCTGGATTTGTTTCTGGGCTCTGAAGAAGGTGTTGCAACGAGAGGCACGTAGATACCACCCACGTTTTCGTGTTACTGACTCAAAATGAAGTCACAGTCACAGCTTGTTGGGGTTTTTTTGTTGTTTATTGGGGTTTTTTTCCCCCTTCTCCCCCCATTTTTTGAACAGGTTGTAAAGGGACAATATTATAGGAAAGGCAAAGTTGTGCTCTGAAACTGCTGTTTCCATCCAGGCCCTGTTTTTCTGTGACTGAGGGTTGGGGGAAAAAATAGTACCCAAGAAATAGCTCTGTCCTGATGAGAACTTAATTTAACACCAATTAGAGAGGGGAGTTTAATATAAAACCAGTTAATTATTGGAGAAAACAGGCGTGGGCACTTTATGAGGGACCCAGACACGTGGATTTAAAAACGGTTTTTATAAAGAGGGAAACCAATATGACAGGAAAAAAAAAATCTTAATAAAGGGGAGGAAAATCAGGAGTCCCATGGAAACAGATCTCGGAAGGAACCACCAGCCAGAGCAGCCAGGAGGGTTTTGGTCTAACAGTCTCCTCCTGCCTTACCACCTCATAAATCACAAACAGCTTGATTTAATACATTAAAAGGTGTCCTTAATTTAAATTTCAATTTAAATCTTGTTGTCAGGCAGGGCTGGGGCTCACTCACCTCTTTGGGGACGGCACTTAACAAGGACAATTCAGGTCCCTGGGTGCACAAAGCCTGATCTGCATAAAATCCCCGCTGGAATCTTTTGTTCCCGAGCTGCCACAAACGCTTTTGCCTTAGGAACCCCCTCTCAAGCTGCAGGTGATTTATGCTGTGAGGGAAAACTCCGAGTAAATAATAATTAGGAACCGAAGGGAATCCTTCCTGCCGGTTTGGGAGGCGAGGGGAGGGAGGGAGGCAGCTCCTCTGCCTGGCACCTCTGGCTGGGAATGGAAACCTTGGGAAAGAGAAAACAGGGATTTCTGACGGCCCTGGGTGGAAATGAGACAGAGTTTAGTGTGGGGTTAAAGCTTTTTGGCACTGGAGTGAGTAAGAAAAGTGGCCCAGCTATGAGGATTTCCCTGTTGAGGCTGGGAAGTGTTTTATTTCTTTATTGGGGCTTCATCCAGAGCCCTGAAGGTGCCTCCTTTCAGGGGCAGAGCTGCACCAGCTGCTCTGGGGGAGGTGGAGATTATTTCATCTAAGGCTGAAATGATCTTATTTTATTCAAATGACATTTTAATTTAATTCATTACAGTGTGAGAGGGCAGGTTTAGATTAAATATTAGGGATAAATTCTTTACTCTAAGGGTAAGAAAGGTGGCCCAGAAGAAGCTGTGGCTGCCCCATCGTTGGAATTGTTCAAGGCAGGTGGGAATATCCTGAGATTTACCTCCAATTAACCTGCCCTGAGCCCTGCTGGGCCACTGAGGAGCTGTGTGACACTGAAGCTGTGCAGGAGGGTTAATTCAGCTGGAAATTCATATATGAACAGATAGGGGCACTAAGAAATTGTTAGATATTTTTATTTTTGTGTAGTAAGATTTGGTCCTTGCACTCAACACTCCTTTTTAAAGAAAACAATTGGTTATATTAACATAGAATTCACACAACGTGCTGCTCCACGAGCCGAGTGAAGATAAACCCGAAACTTGAAGGTAAAATAAAAATCCCATGTTTTAACTGGCTGCAAACCACCCCAGGCCCTGTTCTTAGGGAGGAGAGCATCCTATCCAGCAGATCCCTTAATTATTTGCTGGAGTTGCCCCAGTGGCTCTGATTTATAGTAAAGCAAAGCCACCTTTTCGGGCACTACATAAAAATGCTCCTTTGCCCTTCCCCTCCCAGCTGGGCTTTTCGTTGCCTTTGGCACATCTTTAATTCCAGTTATTATCTGCAAGCACAGAAGCTGAATGAATTGTCAGAGGTCACTCAGGGAGCAGAGGGCACAGCCTGGAGTAAAAGCAGCCTCTCCTGATTGGCATTTATCATCTTCTTTATAATTGGGATGCCAGCAGCCCTTTGAAGTCTTGACTGAGGTTTCCATTGCCTTCCATGGAGCAGGGACAGGTCCCCACAGCCAAGGAGCAGCTGATTAGGCCTGAGAAACAAAGGAGAAGGGATTTCCTATCTCTTGCAGATGCCACAGGGATTAAGGGAGGGGCTGTCAGGGCTGGGAGTAGTTTTTTTTTTGACGTGTCCTGAAATGACTTTTCCAGTCGAACCCAGGAGAGCTCCCTGGCACTCAGGGAGTAAACAGAGCCCTGAGATTGAATTCATTATTAAAATCTGAAGAGCAACCCCCAATTTTATTCACATCTGCCATAAAATTGTGCAATGGTTTAGGGGTTTTTTGGAAGGGATTCCAAAAACCCTCCAGTGCCACCCCCTGCCACGGGCAGGGACAACTTCCACGAGCCCAGGTTGCTCCAAGCCTTGTCCAGCCTGGCCTTGGACACTTCCAGGGATGGGGCAGCCACAATTTTCCTGTGCCAGGGCCTCAGAGGGAATAAATTTTTCCCAATATCTTACTCACAGTGAATAGTGAACATTGATTTCTTGAGATTTTCCCCTCTCCACCAGACCAAAAAAAAAAAAAAAAAAAAGTGCCAGGTTTTCCAAAGCTGCTTAAAAGCATTTAAAGCACAATCCCTAATTAAAGCCCCATGGCTTTGTTTATGTATTTCGAAACCTAAAGCAGCACTTAAGAAATCTGCAATTACTGCAAATTACTAACTGTGGAGTAATGATCTTCAGTAAAAAAAATAATACCTTTTTAATGAAAATCCTGCATCAAAAATCATCCCTTAGGTAATGGTTGGTTCCCGAGGAACAATTGTCCCAATGTGGATTTAGCTGCTTTTTTGAAACACTTAAAAGGGGGGATGAGGGGGAGGAGAATAAAGAAAACAAGTAAATAATAAGAATAGAAATAGGAGACCTAAATGGTGGGAATTTTCTTAAATTAATTGAAATATTAAAGAAGCCTGTTGTGTGTGAGATCCTAATTAGATTCCCAGTTTGGTTTTTTTTTTTTGGAAGTTCTGAGTTCTCTCTGTAATGGTCAGACTGGCCTCATCTGCAGTTTTTATTCCTTGATCAACAAGAAAATTTCAGGCCTGAGACCCTTTCCCCTGAGTGCAGATTAATTAATAAAAGCATCAAGAATAAACGGCCCGAATGTTGTTTAAACAATCATTCCCTGTCTGCACTTACATGTTTGTGTAATACCTGAAAAACCCACATTGTCTGAGAACACCCAGCTTTTTTATTCCCCGACAAATTTCATCTCAGTTGCCTGAGAAACCTGAGCAAAGTTGGATTTTCCAGCTGAAAATCCAAACAAAAACGCCACCAACCTCGGCGTGCAACCGGAGAAGGACCAATAAGAACCCTGACACGTCTCTCAGGGTGACTCTGCACCCCTGTTTTAGTCTTTGCTGACTGCTTAAAATACGATAATGAGTGCTTTAAGTGGGGGAACTCGTTGATGGGAGTTTGCAAAGTGCAGTTGAAATCCTTTTAACGCGGAACTTCCGCGGGTGTTGCCTCGGGGGCCTGGCAGGGATGTGGACTCTGCAGGAATAATTCAGGGGATGAGGGCCACTAATTGAAGGGAATTAATAAAGAAATGAGGATAGAAATGAAAAATTAAGTGCTTTTCGGAGGAAGGGGGGTGGAACATGAAGATTTTTTTTCCTGCTGGAATCTCCCAGTCGGTCATCTCGTGGTGCCCCAGCAGTGGTGAGATGGGTGGGGGGAGATTCCTCTTCCCTGCTCCAAACCTCGTCCAAACTGGTGATGACTCTGCTGTGAAGTGGTACCACCTGTCTGAGAGTGGGAGCCAGATTCCCTGGACTACAGGAATGCTAAAATGAAGGAGCAAAGAAAACCAAATTCCTTCTGATTATCAGATCACGGGGACTCAATCCCTTACCATGATGGTCTCCCATGAGGGACTTGGCCGATGACAGAGGTCATTGATCATGTCATCAATGATGTGACCACTTGAATGGGACCATCAGGTGTTGGCCATGACCTCTGGTGCTGTGTCACACAGAATTTGGGGGTGACAAGCTCGAGAGCTGATGCTGAACCTGAGCTGGGGCAATGCCCGGGATCAATCCAGGATGAGCAGCTGGAGAAGGACTTGGAGGAGCTGGTCCTTGCTCTGCTTATTTGGGCATCAGTGAAAGAGTCTGTCCCTGAGGATCAGGGGGAAGAGCTGCAGCCACCAAGAGTGGCACAAACCTTGTCCCCCACGTAGCTCATCTTTGGGCTGGTGTGCCAAAACCTGCAGCTTTCAGCCCAGCAGGGCCGGACCGAGCACATCAGGGAAAGTGTCTGAGCACCCCGAGATCTGCCCTTGCCTACAGACAGATTCCCTGCCTGGAGTTGTTTACCTGCTCCTCGTTTGCCTCTCTGATAAGAGCAGTAAAAATTTCCCCCTGCAAATCCCTCCTAAAGGACGAGGTGTGTCGGAGGGGATCCCTGAGGCAACGACTCTTATCAGGCAAGCTCAGCGTCCTCCCTGCATCAGCTGCCACATCCCAGGTGCTCATTAATGGTTTATACATTCCCCGTGCTGTGTTATTATCCCCGGTGTGCTGTTGGCTTCAGACACCCAGGGACTTGAGAAACAAAACCCCTTTAAGATAAACAGAGCAAAGCCTCATCTGTCATCCCACTAATCGGCTCATAATCAGGTCAGGATTCTTGGCCACATAATGCCTTTATTTTTAATTTCCTATAGAGTTTTCAGATTAAATGCCACTAATTGAATGAATAGAATCATTCACCATCTCAGGGAACCTGCATGCAAGGAGATGCAAATGAACTCCTGCCCGGGGGGTTTGTGTGTCCTTGCCACGATTTTACATCAGTCTTGGAGGAGGGATTACAGGGAATCATGGAATGGTTTGGTGGGAAGGGACCTTAAAAATGACCTCGTTCCACCCCCTGCCATGGGCAGGGGCACCTCCCACCATCCCAGGTTGCTCCAACCTGGCCTTGGACGCTTCCAGGGATGGAGCAGCCACAGCTTCTCTGGGCAACCTGTGCCAGGGCCTCCCCACCCTCACAGCCAGGAATTCCTTCCCAATATCCACCCAAACCTCCTCTCTGTCAGTCTGAACCCACCCCCTCGTCCTGTCCCTCCATCCCTTCTCCAAAGTCTTTCCCCACATTCCTTCAGGTCCTGGAAGGCCCCAGTCAGGTCACTCCCAAAGCTTCTCTTCTCCAGGCTGAACAATCCCATCTCTCCCAGCCTTTCTGATGGATCAGAGCTGCTCCATCCCCTCTGTTCAGCTCCTCTGGAGTGTTTCCAGCAGCTCCATGTCCTCCCCAGGGCTAGAGGGGAGTCTAGGGTTGGTCTCAGCTCAGGGGGACACTGTTGGAAAATCCATATCCCCACCTGATTTTCTTGCTGCATTAAACACTCCTAAGAATTCGAAGGAGCTGTCCCAGATCTGTCCCAGAGGTTTTATTGGAAGGTTGCTGTGACACACAAAACTACTTTTTAATGCAAAGATTAATAACCCTGGTTTCTGAGGCGCTTTAGGGAGTAACCTCAGCTGCCACATTTCAAGTGACAGAACTATTTAAATTTTGTCACAGACTTGCAATATTTACATAGTTTGTTCCCTTTGTGTGTCTCAACCAATAATGAATATTTGGGACTAACTTTGAAGTTCTTCCCTTGAAAGAAACCAAAGGATGGAGCCTCAGTGTTGTTGCCCAGCCCTGGGGACCTGCAGACAGACACACCCTGGTGGCTTCTGACTGTGGAATGAAGGTAAATGAAAGGTGGAGATTCTGATATTGTTTGGGAGGAAGCTTTGAGTGCAACGCACTTTTTTAATGAAAAAAAAATATTTTATGAAACCAATTTCATTATTTGTGGACTGATAGAATGGTTTGGGCTTAAAAGGGCCTTAAAGATCTTCTAATTCCACCCCCTGCCTTGGGCAGGGACACCTCCCACTACACCTGGTTGCTCAATGTCCTGTCCAAGCTGGCTTTGAATTGATCACATCCTGGAACTGATCACTTCTTCAGCCTCAATAATTACAGGATGCCTTCCCAATTAATCTGGTTCCTGTCTGAACTGAATCGTTAAAAATAAGTAAAAAAAAATATACAAATAAAATCCCAAATCTGTGCCTGATGGTAGGCAGAAGCTCTGCTGGCTGAACAATTTTATCCCTTCACAGGCAATTTAATTCTTTAATTTGCTGCAATCACGACGTATTAAATTCTGCTTTAATGAATGAAATGAAACGCTTCTCTCCCCAGAAACAGTTTCAGGCTGCAGACTCCCTTCAGCTGGTCAGCCAAAATTACCCCCTCAAATTAGCTAAATATAGCAGGAATGATTGTTTGCTGCACCACCTGAGTGAAGCATTTGGGTTTCTGTGTTTGGGTATTCTAATGAACAAACCCCAATTACCCGCCCCGTGTTCCCAATTGCTCTCATTCCTTTTGCTACGGCAGAGCTGCCTGAACACTCTTAAGTGGATGTTCTGGTCACCAAATTGTGGTGTCAGGACATAAAACCCCGAGTTTAGTCCAGCCCTAATTAGGCCAACTTGCCCAACTCAGCAGGTGCTGAGTGGTTTGTTTGCACATTTCAGCTTCCTGGAGGGGGAAAAAAAAAACCCCACCCTTGAGACTTTCCAGGCGTTCCTCTGGGGGTCAGGGAGGAATTATTCTCAAAAAATTACTTGGTAAACCAACCATTTTTCAAAACTCTTGACGGTCCAAGTTGGGAATTTAAATTTTGGAGTTTCTACAAGGGCTGAAGGGAGCGACGTAAAAAATAGAAACCATGATGGGGTTTCTGGACCAAAATGGTTGATGTTGACTGAAAAACTAAAAAATCGGTGCCATGGAGGGTTTGTGACCTAAATAGGCTTTTATCTAAAAAACAAACTTCATTCCCAGTGAGAGCTTCCAACCAGACATGTGGTGCATGACACAGAGAAAAATACCTGGAACTGTATTTGTGCAAAACATGCAAATGTTCCCAATCTGCAGCTCTCTGGGGTGAGTCTGGCAGCATTTTAATTTTAATTTGGAAATGGCCCTGAGACAGACAAGCCAGTGACTAAACTGAGAGACAGAGGAGGAAAAACACGTTGCTTTCCAAGCAGATCACCATAAATGCCTAAATTGCCTGCATCAAAAAGGCCGGGCACGGCAAGCGTTTGATCTCTAATTATGGCACATAAAACAAGGTTCTGGGGTGGAAGGGGGATGCCACCAGCATGGAAATGGGGAAGGAGCACCAAATCAAAGCCTGTTTCAGGAGGAGGGAGTGTTTTCCATGCAAGATGAGCTTGGTAAACACATGAGGAGGGTGGCCCCGGTGCCTGGGGCTGTGCAGGGCTGTATAAAAGCCCGTCCAGCTGCAGGTCCTTCATCCACTTCTCCTGCCTTCTCCTCCTCGGTGAACCAGGTGAGCAGCAAGAGCCTTCCTCTGTTCCTCTTCTCTGTCCTGTTTCTCTTCTCCTGTGGTCTCAGTGCAGCTTCTCCTGAGACCATTTCTGTTTTCTCTTGTTCTACATTCTCAGTTCTCCACCACTGGTTTGGGAGGTGGGAGAAGGTCTTGAGCTTTCAGTGCAGGGAACCCTTCACTATCAAGTCACTTTAATGTTCCTTCCTCTCTGTTCAGGCTGTGCCTGAACACCAAACTGTGCCTTTTTTGATGAGAAACCTGCCTCTCACGCTCTGCCCGTGCTGTCCCTGCCCTCTCTCTCTGCCAGGTCTGCCACCCACAGCCATGTCCTGCTACGACCTGTGCCGTCCCTGTGGCCCCACCCCGCTGGCCAACAGCTGCAACGAGCCCTGCGTGAGGCAGTGCCAGGACTCCCGGGTGATCATTGAACCATCTCCCGTGGTGGTGACCCTGCCCGGGCCCATCCTGAGCTCCTTCCCCCAGAACACCGCCGTGGGCTCCACCACCTCCGCCGCCGTGGGCAGCATCCTGAGAGAGGGAGGAGTGCCCATCAACTCTGGGGGCTACGGCCTGGGTAGCCTTGGTGGCTTTGGTGGCTTTGGTGGGCGCTACTGTGGCAGGAGATGCCTGCCCTGCTAAAGCCGGGCCTGAGTCCAGCGAGTGCCTCGACCAAGAAGCCCAAAGCCGGACTGAGGATGGAGCTGCTGGCCAGCGCTTCCACAAGGCTTTCCTCCTCCTGCTGAGGAGGGAGGCAGACGTGGCCAGCTGATGTTTTGTGCTTGTCCTGCTCTCTTCTGCTCCTCGTGAGCCCCTCGTGTTGTCCCCTGCTGTGCCGTGGGTTCCCCCTGACTCCAGTGGAGCGGGGTCCTGCCCGTGGCTGTGGGAGGCACTGTGTGTCCCACTGCTGGGCAGGGCTGTCTGACTGGGTCCTTTCCAGCGTTCACTGCTTTGTTTCTGTCTTTAAATCCATTAAAACTGATGCTGCATTGTATCTTGAGTCTCCTGGACTTCCTTCGATCCTGGGATGTGCAGCCCAGCTGCTCCCTGGGAAATGGGATGCCCCGGAGGGGAATTGGGTGGGTGGTTAAAGGCTGGTGGTGGACCTTTCTCATGCCTGGATGAGCTGAGCAGCCCCAAAGACCACAGGCATTAAAGGAGCCATGGGGTGGTGGAGGGTGTGTAGAACTGTTTGAGGTGACCCTGAGGTGCCCCAGGGAACGTGGGAGCCAGAAGGGAGGTTGGGCACTGACTGCCAGTGGATGAGGCAAAACACTGACCTGGTGAAAGATATTTCTGTGCAGGTTAACACCTCCTTTGAAACTCATTAAAATTTGCACAGCATCATGTCTTGAGTCCCCCTTGGAGTTCCTTCAATCCAGGGATACCCAGCCAAGCTGCTCCCTGGGAAATGGGGCGCCCTGGAGGGGAATTGGGTGGGTGGTTAGAGGCTGGTGGTGGACCTTTCTCATGCCTGGATGAGCTGAGCAACCCCAAAGA